CGAGCGGCTCTCCGGCACGGCCACGACTCCAGGGCACAGAAACCAATCTCTTAACTAGCTAACTTTTAATAGAAATTCTTCCAGGGTCAATAAGTAAAATAGCAGAAATTCAAAACCGCGCGGCCGCGATAGCGGCCGTGCGACCTCATTTTATTCTTAAACCAAGTTGTAGAAAGCAAATCATTTCACAACGCTGTTTCAGCATGTCTGATTGGGGGGGGGGTGGGTCGTAAGCTCTAAACAATAGTTGTGCATCTTCTATCGAAATAATCTATCTAGTCAAAGTAGATAGAGTATTAACTAGAACTCATCTGCCTCACAAGAATTGGGAGGGGTGGGAGGTGGGGGTCTATTGGGGTTCGGGGTTAAAAATGAGTATTGGTAAAGGGAAATGTGTTCGGTATCTACATGACTGAGACCTAAACCCGAAAGCTCTGTAACTTTTCCCACAGTGATTCAATAAATAAATAAATTATATAAAAAAAAAAAAAAGAAATAAATGAATGAGACCATAGCAACTGAATTGAAGGCTCACAGTGGCAAAAAACAAAACCATCCAATATTCTCATCCCCTTTTTTTAGGCTAATGCTTTATTTTTTTAATTTGCATGTTTTTTTAATTAAATCGTTCATGATGATTTGTTACCTTCAATGTTCCAACTCAACCGCACCATCATTGTACCTTCCCACCACCATTATTTCCAATTTTTCCAACCACCTGCTCTTAATAGCAGGTCCTGAATAATTTTTTTATATTGCTTGTTATAAATAATGCGCTAAAAATGATTTTTAAAAGTTTCCTTAGAAGAAATTTAGTGAATATTGTTGTATCTCACCATGGAGCCATTGAGCCCTTCTATAAGAGATTACTAACATGTTGTTACATGTTAAGCCTTGTGTGTATATTTTGTAAACCAAGATTCGTTGCCTTCTACTTTACATCCTATCCAGTGTGGTATGCTACTCATGGTTTACCAGTGGTATAGAGTTTGAGATGTCACTCTAGAAATTCCAAAAAATTGAATGGGGTGATACATTTGGAGTTAAATTCTTAATTGGATGGTGCCCCTGATGACTTTTCCTGGCACCAGGTTCAGATCTGCAACTTGTTGATCTCTTCCAAGCTTTATTTATGAGTCTCTGGATCATGACAGTTAATTAGCTTACTTGGGGCCAGAGGTGGTTCCTGCCGATGCTTCAGAAGTACAAGAAGTTGGGGGAAGGTAGCCCATTCCCAACTCTGTTAAAAGCCTGGAGATTTTAGTCACAAAACCTGCATACCTGAGTTTTTCAGCAGATTAATTTATGGAAGAGGCTTATCCCAAGCAGTGGAGTCTGACCATAAACAGCAGTTGTGGAGTGTGGAGATTTTTGTCTGCTGTGACTTTTTTGGGCAGGTGCTAAGATCATCTGTGCCCCTCTGGGGTGCCCCAGACAACTCAGCCAGGCATAGAGTTCAGAAGCATCTCTGACTCTTCCCCCCTTGTTGAAGAAATTATCATTCATAATAATGTTGACTATAAATGCAGTAGCTGGAAGTGGAGGGGTCAGTGTGTCTTAAGAATTTGGTAGTACAATGGGAAAGGGTTCTTGAATGAGGCCAACCGGGGTTCAATCCCTGGCATCCCATATGATCCCCAAACAGCACCACTCTGAATGCAGAGACTGGAGTATCACCAGGTATGTCCCAGAAACCAAAGACACAAACAAACAAAAAAATTATTCAATGTTGTTGGTCTAGAGGTTCTTTATCCTTCTTGGAGGAAAACTTCAGGCAATAGTTTGCCTTTGATTTTTGATGAAGATTGTAGGGAATGGAATAAAAAAGAATTGCTGACTATTAGCATATACTTAAGTGAAGAACATGATCCCTTTTGTCCAAGGAAGGGATTTTGAGATCACACATAACAAACAGTTCTTTTCTTAACACTAGAAATCACTGGAAAGCCACCTAATCCTCCCTTACCTCCTGCTGTGTACACTGTCTTCTTCAGCCTTCTAACTCAGCTCCACCAGCCAAGGTTAGCTGGTTTCTCCCACATATCTCTCCTACCATGGCTGCAGGGCTCTCAAGGAAATGGAAAGTAGCCCATTTGCACACTCTTCACGCTTTTCCCTTCCTATGCCCATTCCTTTCCGTGGGACACTCTTGGCCCTTATTCCCCCAGTATTAAGGATGCAGATCATACCTTGACACAGTGCTTGCTCCTTCAGAATCTAATGAAACCTGAAAAGGTAATCCATCATCCCCTTTATCAGCTTGTTATTTATTTTAATGGTTCACCAAGTGACAGCTAGTGAACTGTGAACATGAATGAAAAAAATAATGTTTTCTAGAATCACACTTAGAAACAGTGAGAAGAAGTATTTGCATTGCTCTCCCGTCAGAATTGTAGCTGATTTTTGAGTTGTTTGATCTTATGTTAAGGGTTACAGTTTCTTGGTGAATATTTCCCTCATTTGAGTCTCCTGGGACAAACTTCCAAAAGGGGGGGGGGGGGGGGGCGGGGTGCATAGGATTCAGATGTTGGTAGTGGATGTTACCTGCATGGTTGTCACCTCTGGGCCCTAAGGTACTGTTCAGCCTCACAATTAGGTACTGGTTGGGGATTGGGATGCCACCGAGGGATAACAGAAGCAGGTGAGCTGGCAGCTGGAGCAGATGGAAAGGGAAAGGTGACAGGAGAGACTGTTTTCACGCAGATGTTCTTTTACAGAAGAACAATGGAAAAGAAGGAAGAGATCTTAGCTAATGCAGCTCTTGTATTTAATTTAGAAAATAGGGGCATATGTGGAGGCTTGGTTTATAACTGCTGACTATGGTTCGATCCAGAGGAAAGTGAGACTGATTCTTCTTTACTCATTCTTCTAGCTATTGAGTGTATCTGCTAGGTGGGACACTACATGTCAGCAAAGAGTGAAGTTTGGGACCTGGAGGTGCCTCTGGAAAGAAAGACCACCATGGCAAATACATTTCCATGCTGAAAAGTGCCGCATAGAGGTGTGCACAGTGCAGCAGGAGCCTGGCACGGAGCATGTGAGGGCCAGAAGGGAGTGCTCCCCAGAGGAAACAAAAGTTTTCTCTTGTGTTCATGAGAAAGAGAATAGAAGTAGGGCAATAATAATGAATATATGCTCTTTATTTTTTCTTTTTTGGTCACACTCAGCGATGCACAGGGGTTACCCCTAGCTCACGCACTCAGGAATTACTCCCAGCTGTGCTCGGGAACCAAATGAGATGCTAGGAATCAAACCCGGGTCAGCCGCGTGCAAGGCAAACACCCTACCCTCTGTGCTATCGCTCCAGCCCCTGAATATATACTCTTGGTTAAAGTTTAACACTGTACAGAAGGTTCTGAGTAAAAAACAACTCATATTTTTAAACCTATTCTTTTCTGCCTTCATCCTGAGTGGAATTAACAATAAAACCAAAGAGTTTGGTATATGTTTATACTTTTCTGTTTAAGACCTTAAAAGAAAGTCACTGGGCTGGGAAGACAGCTCAGAGTGGCAGAATACAGGCCCAGCATGTGCAGGGTTCGGGCATCGCATGACCCCCTTGCAAGCCCCCTGGTGAGGTCCTAGTGGTCCCCAATCGCCACACTGCTGACTGATGGCCTGTACCGGCAGGAAGAGCCTCACTGACAGTACCCCACTCTATCCCTGCACTTTGGGTGTGACCCCTATTTTTAAAAAGTCAGAAGGGCTGTAGTAATAGTACCAGGGGTAGGGCAACCCAATTTCCATCTGCAGCATCCCATATGGTTCCCTGAGCACCACTCAGAATAATTCCTGAGTACAGAGCCAGGAATAATCCCTGAGCATTGCCAGGTATGGCCCAACTCCACACCACACCACACCACACACACACACACACACACACACACAATCAGGATTATTTTATTTTTGAAACTTTCATCCACTTTTATTGTCTCTTTCCAACTCATCAGTTACTCACACAGATGCTGTTTCGGGGACCCTTCCATTCTGCCTCTGAGTTTAGACTTGGGCAGATGACTGCTGACTGAGCAGATTCTTCCTGTCTTTGCAGCAGGAGACAAGCAAGACAAACTAGGATTCCCCAAGAAAAACCACAGCAGAGGGGGTTAGACTCCTACTAAGAGCCTAAAGGCCTGGGTGCAGCAATCACTTACCACCTGGGGCAATCAGTGCTTCATCTGACACCCTCTTCTCTGAGGTCAAATAATACTATCTTTCCTGGTATACTATTGCATCATTCCAAGAATCCAATGAGAGTATGTACCAAAATACCCAAAAAAAAACTCTTAATTGACTATACATCTGCAGTTCATAAGCAGATGCATGATAAATATATACTCAGTTTATATATGAGTTTAGATGGCAAATGGTGTCTCTCACTGTGGGTGTTGAGAGATGGCAAAGAAGAAAACACATTTGGATTTTAGCTGCTCATGCAGGTAGGGTCACATTTCCATAATTCACCTGTGATTGGAGCTGGCAGTGGAGGTATCCATGGGTGGGTGTGTAATGGGGGAAGCAGCCCCTTATTTTGAGTACTCAGAATCCCAGCTTTCCACCCGACTCTACAAGAGGAAACAGCCCAGATACATGCTCTGCCAATTGTACTGGGGTCTGGCAGAAGCTGAGTCTGCTGTTGGCATTGCCCTGTGATGATGGGGTGCACTCAGTGGGGCACTCATTTGTCTATGAAGGCTTGTTGGCAGGTGTGTGTCCTCAAACAAAGATCCATATTCAGTCTCCTGCTCCCCCAGCCTTCTCGCCGGTGGAACTGAAACACAAATGGAGTGTTCTAGAGAAGAGTCTCTTATGTTGACCCAGGGGGAGCGTCCAGAAAACCATGAAGCAGGTTACTAATTCTCCATGAAAATCAGTAGCTGCTCAAGTCCTTAAAGAAAAAAAGACCTGGTGCAAATCAGTTCAGAAACCAACGTTCTCTTTGACAGCCAAGCATTTGTAATGAAGTCTTATTGCTTTTTTTTTCCCCTCCTTCCTTACAGAAAATGAAGGAATACCTGGAGGGCAGGAACCTCATCACCAAATTGCAAGCCAAGCATGATCTTCTCCAGAAAACCTTGGGGGAAAGTGAGTATGGGAGCAGGGCTGAGGTTTGGCTGTGAGGGGACCAGCTCCCACCTCCCAGCCAAGCCACATTCCTGGCTCTTGTTCTGTGAATGCATTCTTTCTCCTAGTCTGTCTGTTGTGGAAGCACACACCCCAGATGACGGCCTCGCTAATGGGAAAAGGCCAATGTTTAATGAAGCACTAATGTACGTGCACAGCTATACCCACGCCCTTCCTTTGCCTCCTCTGACACGACCAGGAAAAGGCCCTGCTAGGTCTGTCATTCTCCACGTACTTAGTTAAAACTTTTAGCTCCTCTGTGGTGAAACTGAGACTGCAGCAGAAAGGTAAACAAGGCCTCGAGAGAAGAGGGGCTGCTGAAGGGCAGAGCCCGTGAGTAGAGTACCGCTTTCTGTAACTTCAAGGTTAGAACTGCGGCTCTGCTCCATGGGTGGTGCTTTGCATCGTCTAATATCTTGATGTAAAATGGTGAAAAAGTCCTTTCTCTGCTTCTGCCATGCTGAGGCCATGATACTGAGTGGATGGTCTTACCTCGTAGCCTGATTCTAACCAGACCTTGGAAAACAGCAAGGCAGAGACTCAGCTGGCATTGTGGACTTTTTCTCCTCAGCTGTCAAATGGAAGGTTGGAAGAGAAGCTTCCCTGGGGTTCTTGGCACCCTGCCTAGGTCTCCTACCTGGCTCTCAGCATCCTATGATTAATGGGATTCCCAGATAGGGGATGCCTCTGTCCACCCCACACACCCACTTCTCCTTCCCAACTGATTTTCTCACTTTAGGAAGTGCGAACTTGCACTGCCAGAGAGATCTGATCCTTTAAGTAAATTAAGTAAATTCCTGAGCATGCTTCCAACAAACTGCAGAGTCTAGGTAAATGTCTAAAATTCACTGGTCCCAGAAATTTGCTCCCCACTTTTCATACCAGTTGCCTACCCAATCTGAAGAATTCCCCCCAGATGATAAATTTTCTTGTTTCTAATGTCTTTGATCTTATAAAGATTATTTTTAAGATTTCGTGTGTGTGTGTGTGTGTGTGTGTGTGTGTGTGTGTGTGTGAAGAAAACCTATTAGTCGATGACTTCTGTTCTTTTTCCCTCCAACCGCCCAAGGGAATCAGGCTGAAGAGTTTGGGCATTAAGATCCAAATTTTTTTTAGGATATTGTTCCAGATGTATTATTGGAAATTAAAAATATTCTAATATCTAAAAAATATGTTTAAATTTTAGGACAACATGACACAGCTCATTGACCAGACAAAACACACCTAAAAATATAATCCTTTTTCATTATGAATGATTAAAACCAACAAAGAAAGCAAGAGAAACAGTGTTTAAGCAAAAACTATATCATCTAGTATAAAAGGTTTCTTACTGCCTTTAATAATAATATAGATTTGAATAAAAGTAGAGCTAATATAAATACACTTTTGAATGAAAGCATTATATTTTATTATTTGTGCTAATCACTTTTAGACAATTTTACAAATATGTAAAAGACAAATCATTTTTGTAAGTACAAAATCTTTTGTGTATGAATTATTCTTTTATAAAATTTATCAAGTCAAAAAAAAAAGATCCAAATTTTACTTTATTTGCATCTTCTGCCTGAACAATTTTTTTCTCTGAACAAATTTCTGTTCTCCTGCCCTGAACAATTGTACATTTTGCTTCGAGAGGGTATAGCTCAGTTGGTAGAGCACCTGCCATTGCAGACTGCAGAGTGCAGTCCTGTAGCATTGCTTGTTTTGTTTCCCAGTGCACAGACCCAGAAATACCACAAGCAAAGTGTATGAGAACACCACAGTTAAGTGTACAACCCCTTGTGAGCACCATAACACAACTGTGAGAGCACCACCACCGGATCTACAGACGGGAAGAAATGGGGAAAATAAAAATACAAACAAAAATGTAAATTAGAAAAAATTTTTACTCCGGGTTATATAGATTGTTCCATGGGGAAGCAGAGGAAAGAAAGCCCAGAATATTTGAAAAAAGCGATATTGAAGTTCATAATTACAGTGTCATTTTGCCAAAAGAAGCTAAGCATAGTTCACAAGTGCAGTGGGGAACAGAGCCATAGGATGTGAGTGTGTGGGTACATGGATTTAGATGTGAATGTGCGTGTACATGTTGTGTTTGAGTGGATGGGTTTGCATACACACATACACACGCCAGTTGTGTTAGGATGGAGGAGCAAAGGTTGGTGACCATTCATTAGTGTTGCAAATTGCCTTAATCTAAAGATGACAAGTTTCAATGTATGGAAAACAATAGATGAAGATTTTTCTGTGTGTAAGTCATCTTGTTCCTGCATTCTGTATATATTTGTCACTGTAATTCAAGAGCCCTGTGTTCTTGCCACAGAGGGATAATTGATGGGTATGAATATTTCAGATTGAAAATGGGACAGATGTTGAAAATAATGGCCCAGAATAATATTTTTGCAGATGAAAGCTGAATCTTTAGTGATGAGAGTCTGTAAGGAGGCGCCATGGAAGAGGGTGTAGCTCTCGATTGAGCTGAACTCAGTCTCATCAACAATTAAAGGCAATACGTGAAAGTCAAGAAAAAGCCCTCCCTCAAAATATTCCCCAGTTTAGAGTTGCTTTTCTAGGAGTTTGAAGGAGGAGCTAATCTCCATCTAGGGAAAAATCAAGTTCAGCCTCTACTTGGGTTTTCCCTGGATTATCCAATTATGAGTCTAATACAGACCAAGCTGTGCATTCAAAGAAAGCAACATAGGTTATATAATAACCCACGCAAACAAGCGTGTATGTTTTCTCAAACATGAAAATACTGCTGAAAAAAATCTTTTAAATACCTCTTATGATCCTGAAAAATTTCTGTCTCTTTTTCCAAAGCTGCACTATGACCCATTAGACGTAGTATTAGGGCCCACAGTTTGATAGCAGTCTCCCTATCAACCAACATTAAATCTCATTTTTCCTCTGCTACCTTTACCTATTGGGAGAATTCAGTATGAATCTGAAGCTAGATCTCCCATATTCCTCTCCCCAATTCCCTTACCTTCAGCTGTGTGTGTGTGTGTGTGTGTGTGTGTGTGTGTGTGTGTGTGTTCATTCATTCATACACCAGTAGCAAGTAAACGTGTCTCTCCCTCCAAAACAAAGAGAATGTGAATAGAAGAGAATCTAGATTTCATCTCTGTGGAGATTCCTCCTAACTTGTTCTCTAAAGTATGATCTGTCTAGCTCTTGGGTTTTCTACATCTCCCTCTGTTTTCCCATTGGGAAATAGAGTTGTCAAATCTAAAGTTTAGACATTTCAATGTCATTGGTCTGGGAAATAGTACTTGCCCTGCAAAGGGGTCTAGATACTTTTTTTTTAATGCCTCAGGAGACCTGACAGGCAGCTATCCTGGGGAACCCTCCTATTACCAAGAGGAAGTTTCCCTCTTATACCCTTCTGCTTTGCTTTAACGTGTGCTTTTTTGCCTTTGTCTTTTCAACAGGTCAGCGGACAGATTGCAGTCTGGCCAGGTAGGTGTGGCCTGAGATGACCAGGAAGGGGTGACCAGAGACACTCCAGACAGTCCCTTCCAGCCAGGGAGGGAGCCCAGGAGCTGGGTTATAAAGGGTCGGAATGCCTTTGCAAAGGAGTGGCCTTTGGCAAGTTTGCTTCCTTCCCTTTGTTTTGCTGACCCAATCTGACCTCAAATGGAAATAGGGTTTGCTGTGACAGCAGGAAAAAAGTGGATTAGAACTCAGTGGAGGAAGCAGTATTTTGATGAAATAGCCCAGAGATTCCCCAGTGCCACTATACTGCAACCTAATAGAAATGTTCAACCCTGGAGGATCCTGATAACCTAAGTTTACTTGCCAACCTCTAACCTACAGGGCTTTGGGAAATTTTCTGACCCAGAGAAGGAAGATCAGGAAATAGCATTTGATCCAATATTTTTTATACACAAGAAAAAAATAATGGTCCTCCTTAGAGACTGTTCTTGGATAATGAAATACTGCATTGTGTTTTGGTAGAAATCCGTACCTGATGTATAAGTATGTAACCCTCCCTTACCCCATTCCAGCCAAATATTTTCCTTCCCAGTCACGGTACTGCAATAAGAATGAAAACTGTTGAGGCCAGAAAGATAGTACAGCGAGTAGGGCATTTGCCTTGCACGTGACTGATCCAGGTTCAAGCCCTGGAATCCCAGATGATCTTCAGTGCACCACCAGGAGTCATTCCTGAGTACAGAGCCAGGAGTAACCCCTGCACATCGCCAGATCTCTGGCTCAAAAAACAGAAAGAAAAAAAAAGGAGAGAAAGAAGAATAACAAGAGGGGAGGAGAGAGGGGAGGAGGGAGAAGAGGAGGGAGGGAGGGAAGAAGGAAGGAAGGAAGGAAGGAAGGAAGGAAGGAAGGAAGGAAGGAAGGAAGGAAGGAAAGAAAGGAGGGAGGGAGGGAGGGAGGGAGGGAGGGAGGGAGGGAGGGAGGGGAGGACAAGCTGGCAGAAACAAATGCATTCATTCGGTCAGCAGTGTCAGATGCCTTAAAATGTGCTGATTTAACTGGAGAGAGTTTTAATGAGCTGAACTCCTTAGAGACCTTGGGGTAGCCTATTATATCAACCACTTATATCTGCCAACACACACAATAATCACGAGGCCATTTACAATTATAGCCTCATTATTTAGAAATAGCTTCAGTTGGCTTTCATCATTTTGTCATAATGGATCACAATGAAGATCCCATTAATATACCAGTTTGGGTTACTGCAGGGAACCAGGATAATAGAAATCTGTGGAATATATATTCCTAGCAATAGAATCTTAGTTTAAGTTCACGTATAACCTACCGCTGCAGAACACTCCATGGGAATGAAAATTATTGAGCTAAAATTTCTTGTACGGTGTTATTTTGCTACGTGACTTTAGGCCACGCTTTACTCTGAACTTCAGAGTAAACTTCAGTTACTCTGAACTCAGAACTTCAGAATCTGAGTCAGATTCGCTGGAAGAAAAGGCTTCTGAGGCAAAACAGCTTGAAAAGTATTCGCCAAAGGAACACCTAGAGTCCATCCAGTTTGGACACACTATTTGTTTTGTTTGTTTTAAGAAGTGGCGGGAAGCTTTTCTCCCCTAAGATTCCTGGGGGGGGGGGGGGGGGAGAGAGAGAGAGAGAGAGAGAGAGAGAGAGAACTGCAGCCTCTCATTTATTCGTGTCTCCTAGCAAATAGATCCCGTATAGTCTAACAAAAATATATTTACTGCAGAGTCTTCCATGTTTTTGTGGGGGGGAAAAAATGTTTCACTGAGCTCTGTTTGGAAAGCACCTTATCAATAAGTCTCTTAGTCACTTCTGGGGGATGAGCTGAATAATATGACTTGTTTCATTAACCACCAGACAAGAGTGTTTTTAATTCCATTTTCTCTTTCCTTTGCTGGATCAATTCTCTCTGGTGGGGACAACCACAGGCGTAGCTCAACTGTGAGAAAGCAGGTAAGGTTCAGTAAGAGCCAGGCTGTCCTGGTTTAAAAATGGTTCCTTCCCATAGTCATTCTTGAAATTAGGAGCTGGACAGACACTTTTCTGACTTCATGCCTGTGTTTGAAATATGCCCTTTCGTCATGGTCTGTTTATTTTATAGCAGCTCCACAGATTCTGCTTGTTTAATTGGAGCAGTAGTGGTATTTCGATTGTTCCTCTCATCTCTCTTCATTTATCCTGATACTGAAGATTTGGTTTGTGGCAGATTTGCCAGAACTGTCCATGACTTCATTTTACTAGGCAATGAAAGAGACTTGATACACAAGTCCTCCCACACTTGATGCATAGGTACCAATGTGTGATTAATTCACTGAAGCTGGTCAGTCACCTAACCCAATTCCATTCTCAACATGAATCTCAACTCGGCTCTGAGTAGCTATTGTTACGCGTGTGTCAGGAGCATCTTTGAAAGCAGTAGCATGGAAAATCCACACCGACGGATCATCTCAACAGCACTAAATTCTTTTTAATTAATTGATATGTTTCTTTTTTGCCACAGTGAATTTGATTTCCTAGTTATACTTCATGGAATGATTTTGTATCCCTAGGCTCATCCTAGCTGTGCAGTAGGCATTTAGCAGAGAGAGAATGATGAGAACTCGGAAGAGAGTCTTTGTGTGAAAAATCATCTTGGGTACTTTACAGTGGCTCTAGCCACAGGGAGCTAACGGCACCGAGCAGGCGCGTGGTTTCTGGGGCATTGGCAGCCCCAGCAGGCACTTTAGCTGCTCTGACTGTGACGGCTGCTTGGGAAACTCGGATGACATCGCCTTCACTTAGCTTAGCTTTGCTGTGACTATTTTTTCCCCTTCTCTACTTTGGATCTCCTTTCAGTGAGAACACAATCAGATACAATGACACATTGTTCTCAATTTTTTAATATTTTATTCAAATAATATTGTGGTATATATCTTAATGTACTCATCGTTATAAACACCTGCATGTACTAACAAAAATTAGTAGGTACATGTTTTTAACTTTAAATTCTAGCAGTAGAAGTCTTTTTTTCCCCAGTTTGTATCGAGACAACATGGTTTATAACAGTTCCCATATTGTTTTGTACTTGCCATCCCACTGTAATATTTGCCATCCCAATTTGTCCTATACAAACATGACACCAGCAGTGTTCAGGGCCTCCGTGGCAGAGCTCTGGCCTTGAAGGCAGGAGGCTTGTGAGTCCCATCCCCAGCACCCATATGCCATTGGCACAGCTATTTGGAATCACTGGAGCCACAACAGAAAGTGTGTAGTCTCCCAACACACCACAGCCCAGTGCATGCGCCACCTGGCATTCCCCACTACTAACGTGAGGGGGTTAGGAGAAACGAACGCCTGGCAAAACCAAGCTTTCTTTCATTGGATATTAGATGACCATGAAGACATGTGTAGACTTTGTCTGCCGTCTTCCTGACTTCTGCTGCAGACCCCTGGGCCCCTGCTTTACAGTCTTTTGCAGGTTATTTCTACTACCCACCCCTCGGCTCTTAGTTTAAAGTTATCTTAATCTGATTGAATGTGAATTTGGCTGATTTGTTCTTAAATGACCCGAACCATAGGATTATATAACTTGAAATATTGTGAACAAGAGAATTAAATTGACATTCTTATGTTGTAGGAGGGGAAAAGGAAGGGCAGAAAAGAAAAGAAATGCAGTGAATATGAGCATATAGAAATCAGTCAGCTGCATGCAAATTTGGTGACTAAGTAAGGGTCTTTGGCGTTTCACTGAAACAGGTACATCCTGGGGCAGGGTGGAGGTGGGAAAATGAATCATCTGAGGCTCAGGGATTAGAGGGAGGATGGTGGGAGGATGTGAAGCTTTTGTGGACTTTGTCCAGTCCCTCCAGCGCCCCCCCCCCCGGGGGGGGGGGCTTAATTGGAACAGTGGGGATGAGTGAGGAAGTTCTCTTCTCTGCAAGACCATCATTTTTGACCCACTCTTGCCTGCCACAGATTATGCCTCTGAGCTACTTCTGACTTGCTACTGGTAACCATAAGCATTCAGGTTAATAAGTTTTAAGTCTTACTTTGGGCTACCATTCTACTTATTACAAGTCTAGGCAGAATTTTGCACTCATATCACTTGTTGAAACCAGCAACCTCTAAGTTCTCCACCCTATCTCCTTCTGGCCAGAAAATCTTCACAAACCTTCATATTGCTACTCCCTTCTCCTTGGTACTGCTGTTTGCAAAAGAAAATATAATGACCATGCTTATAAATATTAAAGAAAAAATTCCTGAAATGGGGTTTTTTGCTTTTTTTTTTTTTTAATGGAGTGGAAGTGTGTACAAAGGACTGACAAAGATTCTTCCTCCAAGATCACTAATTGCAGAAGTTGGTGCTGGCGACAAAAGGGCTGACACTGGCTCCCGTGGCTGGAGAGCCCGAGGAAGCAGCTGAGCATTTAGGTCACTGAGACCTTCGTGACTCCAGCTCCACTTTAGCACATGCAGCTCTGCCTTTGGCAGCAGCTTGGGTTTCCAGCAAGCTGGGAAGCTGGCGGGCATGCCAGCTCTCCTCGCAGTGTGACATCTTCCTGAGGTCCCGCTGCTGCCCTAAGTAGAGCCAAAACCCCATGGTTACACTGAAAAATTCAGCGCCAGTGGAGGGGAACACGACCAGCCTGTGAAGGGGGCAGAAGCCACAGGACTCCTTCTGCTTGCAAAATCCAGGAATTCTCAATACGAACATCGGAGATCCTTTCTGCTGGTTTTCGGTCCCCTCTGCGTGACTCATTTCTTCCCCCTTTCATGCATTGAGCTGCGCTATAAACTGATGTTTTTAAGTAATTTTTGGCATGCACACCTGGCAATGTTTACCAAAGTTCCAAGATGTGGGATGGGTGATAGGGAAGTGTTCGTTCTCAGAAGGAAAATGCCTGGGTTTGAGCTCTGGCTCTACCACTTAGAGTTATGTCACCATAGGCAGCTATTACAACCTCTCTAATCTTCATTTTCTCATCTGTCAGATGAGGATAATAATAATAAACACCTCATGGGTTTGCTACTAGCACCCATCCATCAAAGTGTTTAGTTCATGGCCCAACGCCTCTATTAATCCCTCTGTAAATGTTAAGCACATGTTCATGTGGCAATAGGAAATATTACTCATCTCAGCACCAGTCTCCTCCCCAGTTTGTATATACCAAGTTGAGGCCCAGAGGAAATAAATGAGGTTGGAGTTGTGTAACAAAATGGCAGAGCAAAAATGGATATCTGAGGATTCTTCTTTGCTTACTACCTAGTAGTAGTCGCCCAGATTGTGTGTAAAGTCCCAAGAGTTGACTTTACACACACACACACACACACACACACACACACACACACACACACACAGCTCCGCTTTACTCTTTTATCTTTTATGCCTAACAAACTCCCTTTCTTTGAGGCAGAAGGAGCCTTCCAAAAGCACTGCTTAGAAGGCCCTGGGCTCTTCCCAGAAGTGCTTGGCGGTCTCCAGGTTTGCATCCATGGATGCTCAGGGCACCATTTGGTTCTGGGGACCAGGCATGTATCTTGATTCTCGTACCATCACTCCATCCCCCATTCCCCTTTCAGATGCTTCATTGGTTCATTCTGCTACCCTCAACTGATTTTAGTTGAGCACCTCATATATGAGAACATCATGACCAGTGTTCAACATGTAAAAATCGACCTAGCATCTGTTCTTTGAAGTTTCAGCTGTAGTAATCACAAATGCAAGCCCACACACACACACACACACACACACACACAGACATACACAATTAAATCACAATTGGGACTGAAAGAACAAGTACAAGGTGCTAAGATGAGACTTGAGCTCATATGGGGAGTCTGGGAAAGCACCAGTGAGGCAGTTTTACTTGAACCAGGATCCTTCCAGTGGGGGTCAAGGACACACAGAGAGTTTCAGTAGCAGAAGCTGATGCAACACAATGCAAGCCCAGAGTGACTGCAACAGAAAGACTGGGGAAGAGTCAAAGAAGAGGAAACTGGAGCAAAGGCTGGATTCTGTGCGCACACATGGCTGCGTAAAGAAAGTGAGAAGTCTTTGAAAGAGAGACAATGATGAGTCCTTTTAAAGGTCATATAGTCACTATATGAAGGAAGAGGAAGTTGGTTTAGAGGCCTGGAAGATTCATCAGTGGGTTGGGTTGGTGTAGAGATGGGGAGAATTGAAATGAACTTGAGAAGTTGTTTTTCAAATGAAATAGGTTTACTTAGGAAATATGAAAGAAAAAAAGGAAAGAGGATCCCATAAAATAAAGGAAGAGAAATTACCCTGAGCGGGGACGTAGGAAACTCCAGCCAAAATGGAGTATGTCTGGATTTGAGAAATATTTAAATATTTAGGGGGCAAACAGCAGGAAGTATCATCAAACTGATTGGATTTTATTGGATTGCTAGGGTTGGGGATCTAGTTTGAGATTAAAAAAAGAAGAAGAAGAAAAGTTCCATTTGGGACAGCTGAATTTCAGGCGTGTGTATGTCATTACGAAGAGAAAAATGTGTTTGCATTCAGATGCTTCTCTGTAGACTGACCACTCATCCAGTTCTATAAAACTTGTCTGCTTTCTCTGGGTGTAGGTTGTCCCACTGAAAGAATCTGACCCCGTGTTTCTCTTGGGCTTTTCAGGATTCCAGCCAGGCAATTCCGCTGGTGGTAGAAAGCTGTATCCGGTTTATCAGCAGACATGGTAAGCAGGACTTGCAGCTTTGCCCATATTTGTGCAAAGCGAAGAACTTCCAGGAATTCTCCGTAAAATAAGAATAGGAATTGAGTTCCCATCCTGATATTCTCAGAAAATGAATAAAATTTTATTTGTTCTCTTACTGTCAGCTGCTTCAGAATGGCCACACCAAGACATGGAAGAAAAACATCATATGTTTTTACCTCAAAAACGACTTACACACTCCCTTTTCTAGCTGTAGAGTGGGCTTTAAATTACAGCTGTTATGTGAGTCAGTCCAGCTGGTGTGATGTGTGACGAAGTTTCGACGTTACTCACTGTCTTTGCACGCGTTGGTATCTCTCAGTGCACGTCCAGGCCATTATGTCATCTTGACTTTCTGCATCACACCAGTTTGAAAGCAACTCCTATAATGTTGCGTTTGTTCCTCATGATATTCCGTTTTTATTCTGGTTGGTCTCACTTGTGTAGACGCCCCCCCCCCCCCCCAAGAGCTCAGTAAGAGCAGGTCTTAAAGCCGTAACCTACATTGAGGGTCTGGCTCCCTCGTAGCCTAAGGCAGATCACACTGTCTTCTGTTTAGATGAAGCTGAATCTCAAGTTCAATAATTCATCGGCTCCTAGACTTCTTAGGCAAAATTTAAGAATTAGTGGAAATGAAATGTCATATAATTGATCATCCAGCTTTAGGAGTTTTTAGAAAGCACAGTTTTTTTGGCAATCAGAATGAAGATTTCTAGGAACAGGATATCATTGAAATTTTAATTGTGTAGTTTTTTTTTTAATTTTAAGACAAATTATTTTTATATGCTGCTCTGCCTAGTTATAGGAAAGGGGACAGAGTGGCCTTTCTGGAGGTAGGGAGGTATGTAGATGGTTGTTGGTCTAAATTCAAAGGCAGCCATTCTTTCTCACTTCCTCACTCTCTTCTCTTCTTATTAACTGGGATGTTGTTTGGTGATCATTTTTGGAATAACAATGATTTCAGTATACTTAAAACAGATGTTCAAGGCCAGAGAGATAAGGTAGGGAGGTCCTTGCACATGACCAATCCAAGTTTGGTCCCCCACAAGCTATATGGTCTCTTGAGCCCCACCAGGAGTACTTAGTGCAGAGGCAGGAGTAACCCCAGAGCAGGCTGGTGTGGCCCCCAAACAAAAACCCATCTCATTTTAACCAGTAATAATTTATTAATCTTTATTCACTTGAACTAAATAGACACCATTATTGAATGGTCAGCAGTTAATTATCAAGCCACTGATCAATGCTAGAGACCATGCATTGTCAAACAAGGACACAAGAAAGGGGTAATGTATTATTCCTATCTTCACATGACTTTTAAGAAAATAAATAAGCATGTGAACAGTTAAGTTCAAGAAGAAGATAAGCTATAGTAATTCAGGACAGCAGTGTAAAATTTTTCACAAGATAATAATGATTAATGGCCAAGCAATTGGTACAGATAAACCCAAGCTGAGTTCCGAGTAGGAATTGTTGGTGCCTAAAGGACAAGAGGAAGAAGAGAGTCTGGATGCCTCTTCATTTATTCACACATTTCATTAATTCCGCAAATATATATTATGTATATGTTTGCTGTGTGTAAAAAAAAAGGCTGTTATCTTTATGAACCTTGCATCCTATTAGTGGACAGATACACAGATGGTCCACTGATGAACTAGCATGCTGTGTGTCCAATGTTGGGGAGGATACTGAAGGAATGTATAAAGCAAGGGGAGGAGAGAGGGAATGAAGAGGTGACACAGTTTTCAGGTAGGTTGTTCTGGAAAAGACATCTCCTGAGAAGGTAATGTTCAGGTAGTTATGAAAGCAGTGATGGAAGGGAATTCCTGCATATCTGGGAGTGTCCAGTGCAGAGGGCTTGGTAGAACAGGACCCAGAATACTGATGACCTGGGGCTGGAGTGATAGTACAGCAGGGAGGGTGTTTGCCTTGCAAGCGGCCAACCCAGATTCAATTCCCAGCATCCCATATGGTCCCCTGAGCACTGCCAGGAGTAATTTCTGAGTGCAGAGCCAGTAGTAACCCCTGTGCATTGCCGGGTGTGACCCAAAAAGAAAAAAAAAAAGAATACTGATGACCATTGTGACTGTGACTGAGAGAATGACAGCAGGTAAAGCCAGAGACCAAACTCTTAGGGCTTTCTTGGCTTTGGTTATTCTGAGTGAGCTGGGAAACTATTGGAGGATTTCAAACAGAATGTAATATTTTGGAAGGATTCCAGGCTGCTTTGTGAACTTAGAACCATCAGAGAAAATAGAGCCAGAGCAATACAGCTGGTAGGGCATTTGCCTTGAATGCAGCCAACCTGGGTTGGAGCCCTGACAGCACAAAATATGAGTAATGGTGCAGGGTGGAAAGAAAGGCCAGGGCGCGGTGAGGGGGAGGAAGAAGGGTGATAGCTCAATGGCAAAGCGCCTGCCTTGCACGGGTGAGGCTACCAATCTGCACCTCCCTACATGCACCACACTGATGGTGGCTGCCCCGCCATTGGGATCCCCAGGCTTTGCCATTGCCTCTCCTTCCTCTTCAGAGAGGAATGGTCCTTAGAGGCACAGACAACATGTAAGGTTTGTTATAAGCAAGAATATAAATTCAATGCAAGAAGTGACCCCTTTGCTTATTTTTCTTTTTCTTTTTTTTTTAATGCTTTTAGGGTCACACCCAGTGATGCACAGGGGTTATTCCTGGCTCATGCACTCAGGAATTACTCCTGGCAGTGCTGGGAGGACCATATGGGATGCTGGGAATTGAACCCGGGTCAGCCGCGTGCAAGGCAAACGCCCTCCAGCCCCTGTTTATTTCTTAATATTGCTTCAACTGCGGGCTGGAGTGATAGCACAGCAGGTAGGGCGTTTGCCTTGCACGCAGCCAACATGGCCCACCCAAGTTCGATTCCTCCGCCCCTCTCGGAGAGCCCAGCAAGCTACCGAGAGTATCTCGCCCGCATGGCAAAGCCTGGCAAGCTACCCATGATGTATTTGATATGCCAAACACAGTAACAACCAAGTATCACAATGGAGACGTTACTGGGCCCGCTCGAGAAAATTGATGAACAACGGGAGGACAGTGACAGTGTCAGTACTTCAACTGCATTTAGGATTTCAGTTCTGGCCTGCAGAGTTTACCTCCTAAAGTCTAGCTCAGAGGCTTCCAGACTTATTTGACCTATTGCCTCTTTTTCAAGACAAAGATCACTCGGTAACTCTTGGAAGTCTATCTTCTTTAAATGAGCAAATAAAAGCTAATACTTTGCCCATAGATTATTCTGGCATCCATAGATAATTCTGACCACTTGGCTAATAGAGTTCTGTTACCCCTTTTTAAGGGAAGTAGTTCTGAAAGAATGGGCTAAATGTAGCATTGTTCTACTTTTTGTTCCCTAAAAAAAATCTGAAAAAAAAATTTTTTTAAAAATCTGAGATTTCTCTGACATAACAAAAGAAATTTTTTAATGGGCCTGAAAATCGCTATAGCTGGTAGGGTGCTTGCTTTACATGCAGTTGACCTAGGTTTGATCTCTGATGCCACGTAGGGTCCCCTAAGTCCTGCCAGGAGTGATCCCTGACCGTTTAGTCAGGACTAAGCCCTAAGCTTGGGGTGTGGCCCAAAAACAAAAAATATTAAGACTTGGGGCTGGAGAGGTAGCACAGCGGGTAGGGCATTTGCCTTGCATGCGGCCGACCCCAGTTTGATTCCCAGCATCCCATATGGTCCCCTGAGCACCACCAGGAGTAATTCCTGAATGCAGAGCCAGGAGTAACCCCTGTGCCTCACCGGGTGCGACCCAAAAAGCAAATAATAATAATAATAATAATAATAATAATAATACTCATGCCCTAACCAAAGGATTTTGGTAAAATACTCAAGATTGAGACGTAAGACTCCTGAGAAGTGCTGGACAGGCCTGATGCCCTCACAGTTAGCAGATCTGGGCAATTACAAGGCTGGCACTGAGCAATGTGCTTCCTCCTCCCCCCACCAACTTTGCATTTGCATAGATGGTGCTCAGGGTGCCATATCCACCTTGAACCTAAATGGTTCCTGCCCTCTGTGCCTTTTCACTCCAGTGGTCCCCACATGCCATGTTTGAGGGATGAGGACACCACCACAGAAGGTCAGAATTTGTATACTGGCTCTGGTTCTCATCACCTGGTCAACCTAAGTGATAACCTGGGTCATCACTAGAAAATGGATTTTCTGGTACCTCAGCCACATGACTGTTGTGAGGACAAGCTGGTTTATTTATTTGAAAACTTCTTAACAGCAATAACCACACACCTTTAAATATATTATATATTTCTATCATCAACAACCCAGCAGTTAAAATTATCATATATTATAATAATGAAACATCCGTACCTTTAGGCCATATGAGAAAAACTTCAATGAAGGATAGTGGCTCGCTTTGCATCCAGCTACACTACTAAACTGGCCCTGCTCTATTTCATGGATATTATTCTCTAGAACAGTCATATAGTATTAGAACAGCTAAAGCCATAACAATAGTCTCAGACCTTATGAAATTCTGATGAAATTTAGTTAATGGTCTTCCCAATTTCCATTCCTGACCCTGGATAATAAAAAAAAAAAAAGTGGGGAAGAGTGGGGGTCCAGGATGTCGTGGGTGGGTTGCTTGCCTTGCACACACTGAACCTGGTTTGATCCCCAACATTCCATATGGTTCCCTAAGCACCACCAGGAATAAGCCCCAAAGTAAAACAACGACAACAAAATAAGTGTCAGGTATGGTGTCTCTACTTGATAGAGAGAACTAGGGAAATACAAGGGGCTGGAGGGATAGCACAGCAGGGAGGGCATTTGCCTTGCACGCAGCCAACCCGGGTTTGATTCCCAACATCCCATATGGTCCCCCGAGCACCGCCAGGAGGAATTCCTCAGTGCAAAGCCAGGAGTAACTCCTGTGCATTACCGGGTATGACCCAAAAATATATACAAAACCTATTTTTTTTTTGTATTGGGAAGCAGCCTGCCTCTCTCTTAGAATTGTAATAGAGCAGGGGACAGAGAGATAGTACAGCAGGCAGGACACTTGCCTTGCACATGGCTGACCCAGGTTTCATCCCCAAGACTCCATATGGTCCCCAGAGTTTTAACAGGAATGATATCTGAATGCAGAACCAGTCCCGAGCACTGCTGGGTGTGGCTCAAAAACTAACTCAACATTTTCTTAGGCTAATGCCATCTAGTGGTTTCTCCAGAATCCTTGCACTAGAGAAATGGGGTGCATCTGACTGGGGGAGACTGACCTTCAAATACATTTAGAGCTGTGCATGCAAATTTGGTTTTGTTTTTTTCTTCTTGGTCACTCTTTCTGTCTTTCTAGGTCTACAGCATGAAGGAATTTTCCGGGTATCAGGATCACAGGTGGAAGTAAATGATATCAAAAATGCCTTTGAGAGAGGTGAGGAAATAGCCTTGATAAGACCAAAGGTTTATCTGTCCCCTGAGGCACCCCTCAAACTGTGCCCCTGAGGCATTCAGGTTAAGATAGTTTGGCTGTTCCAGAGAGAGAGAGAGAGAGAGAGAGAGAGAGAGAGAGAGAGAGAGAGAAAGAGAGAGAGAGAGAGAGAGAGAGAGAGAGAGAGAGAGAGAGAGATTGTCAGTCCTACTCCCTCCCACAGAGAGATGCCGGAACACACCCAGCTCCCCCCTCCTGAGCCCCATTTATCCTGCCCCTCTCCTGAGGATTATCTGCCAAACCCAAAGAAGTTAACTATAATATCTGGGTGGCTTATAGCTTCATCCGGAATCCTTGGTGGCAGTTAATATCAAGGCTAATGCGCCTGTTCATCATAGGCCATTTATTATCTCGTGGGCTATTAGGGTAATAGGCAAGCTTTGGCAATTTCCGTCACTGTAATGGATATACATAGTTTCAATTTGAGGTTGGTCCTATCATTAAATCTAATTACGTCTGATATGAAATTTTCCATAGGGAGCTCTGGCACGATTGTTCTCCTCTGAGTAGGTATCCTTCATTGCAGACCAGGTGGAGTGAGAAGTAGCCAGGAGTAGCTGGCCTCCTGGGTCTCATTTTCCATCCCCAGAGACTTAGCCACAAGCTGGAATCCTGATTCTTGTGAGAAAGTCCATCGCAATGTCCCCTTAGCCCAAGTCCACAGGGAAGAATGTCCCTGAGCTAGACTAGCACGAAGTGCTATGAGAATAAAGGCCTGGCACTGAGTACCGAGCCTGCACAGTCTTGGCTTTACCTGGTCCTGGGTGCTCCACCACTGGACTGGGGCAATGACTTTATTAGGTCACTCCTTCTCCACTGCCTCTGTTTCATCTTTTGTCTTATGTTGCCTTTCTGTGCCTTTCCTTTCTGGGGGTAGGAGAAGACCCCCTGGCAGGGGACCAGAATGACCATGATATGGATTCTATTGCTGGCGTCCTGAAGCTGTACTTCCGGGGGCTGGAGCACCCCCTCTTTCCTAAGGACATCTTCCACGACCTGATGGCCTGTGTTAGTAAGTATGACCTTAACTGCAGACTGGGTTCTGAGGGAAGTTGGACTTGTAGCGACAGGTAAGAACTTTCCATTGGTCTGCTGTTCTCATCAGGTTTAGGGGAATATTTTTCCTTCCTCCTCCAAAATTCCTTCTCCTGGTCCTCACACCTTCATTTCCTGGTGGGAGAGGACTTAAGTACCATGACTTTGGTAAAAATCTAGGACCACAAGTTGGAACTCCTGGCTTTTTTCTTTCTTATTATTCATATCCTTTGTTTTCCCGGGTTTTATCTTTCTTCAATAAAACGCATTTGTATTCATATCTATTCCTTTTCAGTTATTATAAGTCTACACATTTTTTTAAGTGTTGTGCTATTTCATGGTACAAAGGGAAAAGACCAAGTTGTTACAGAAGTATTTTCTTTTTCTCTTTAAACAGAAAGTGGTTTAACTGCTGGATATATTAATGGACATTCTTCTCTAAAAGCCCTCTGTACATTTAAAGTAGTAATATGATATTTTCCCGTAGAGAAATTTCTTCTCTACTTTTTCCTTCATGGAGCTTCTCTGCCTCTAATTGTGAAAGTAGGGCTTGAAAAAGTTATTCCTGGATATTTCGTTTCGCTCATTATACTGGAACATCCTTGCATTTATTTTCCATGGAAAATGATTCACAAAAGTTGGCTTAATATCTGCCTTCCTAGAACCATTGAATTGATGGCTCCATAGGGTGGGGGAGGCAGTGCCTTTGAACTGGAGAAAAGATCCTTCTTCCAAAACCTGCCCATCTTCATGCTCTCCATATTTGCATTGTGACTCAGCATACACCCTGAGCGCTGACCTCTCTTTTATTCTCAGAAAGGCCCCAGAGCCTTCAGAGAGCTCCTGTTTTGACCCACTGTGGCTAGTGCAAATGAGTTGTGGGTAACTAAGTGCCTGCGTCCCTCATGACTTTCTTTTAGGCTTTATGTCTTAAGTGTATTCAGGTTACCAAGAGAATAGTTGGAGGCTCAGTTTACCTTTGAGATGCACTTGCTATTTCTTTTTCACACACAAGTCCTTATCAAAATGCATGGTAGCCACATAGCACACTAGGAAGGGGAAGGCTAGCCCATAACAGCGGCCACCAGCAGATCACCTTATGTCTGTCTTATTACTGTCCACAGCATAAGGGGCCTGCTGTTTTCAGTTCTAGCCATGTTCTTCCTGCTCTCCCCACTGCAGATAAAGCAGGAAAAGATGTGCCAGGTTTGCCCAGAGAGTAACAGCAGGCAGAACAAGCCACACTCCCCTTCCCACACAGACCTTCCAAGGCTGGGTGTTGAACAGTTAGAGCTAGGTAATGCACAGTTCCTTGTCTGGGGGGAAGGGGAGGGGAGGGTTTAATAAGGGGTACAGGGATGAACTTTGAGTGCCCAAAGAGTATATACCTTAAGTCCTGCACTAGTGTCTGTGCCTCATCGTAGTAGCCCCCATCCTCCAAGGAGCCACCGTAATGGAAGGCCTTACATGGTGTCCACTTAGCCACTCTGTTACACCTGCTGGGGTAAGGTGAGTACTTCCAGCGCTCAGTCACTGTGGAGGGTAATGCCTGGCTTTCCTCTTTCAGCAATGGACAACCTGCAAGAGAGAGCCCTGCACATCCGCAAAGCCCTCCTGGCCCTGCCCAAGACTACTCTGATCATCATGAGATACCTCTTTGCTTTCCTCAATCAGTGAGTAAACTTGCACTGGGGAGCTGGGTCAGGCCGTGGCTCTGGTCATGGAAAGTTGATATGGGGACCAAGGACAATTCCTCAGACCACCGAATAGGAATTAAACTCTTGCTTTGTGCTGGGCACAATGCAGGCTCTCTGAATACATTGTTAAGATGCAAAGCTCTGATCTCGGTGAGTTGAGTTTCAAGGGAGGAGATAGTAACAGATATGATAGGTAACAGCAAATGCCTAGAAGAAAAATATACAAGGGTTGGATAAGGGAAAGAGTGCAGGGACCTGAATAGGGCCCGTTAAAAAGCTACCTGCTGCTTTATGAAGAAGCCTGTGAAGAAAAGCAAGGCTTCCATTCAGAGGTTACTTTGTGGTTTCTGCAAGGGTTGTGGGTGGTTTAGACTTTGGGGATGTAATGATAGAAAATGGTGAAAAGAAGTCAGATTTGCAATTTTTTTTAATATAACATTGACAGGAGTTATGATGGTTAGGCTATAGTGTAAGAGGAAAGAGAAATTCCACAATTTGAGTGTGGCAATAGGGAACTAATAGTGATGTCACTTAAGGAGTGGGAAAGACACCAGGTGAAGGAGGGATGAAGACTAGGTAGCAAGTGGGCACAATGACTGGAGGTGCCTGTGGACCTACAAGTGAGATTCTAAGTTGGCAGCTAACAGGAATCTCTGGATGGAAAACTCTCCTACCAATAGAAAGAGCTTTCATATACAGCTGCTGTCTCAGTGACTGCAAGAGAGAGAGAGCCACAGGCCTGAATGAGACTTTTCTTTACTTCCATCCAGTAGGTCCTTATTTAGGGCAGAAACTATAGTTCATGTAATGCAGCAGAAGCAATGTGAGGACATATGATAACTTCTCTTAGGCATTTCTATCAGTTCTATCAGCATCTTCTTCAACAACCTGTGTCACTGCACTGTCCTCCCATTGTTCATCAATCTGATTGACCAGGCACCAGTAACCTCTCCATTGTGAGACTTCTTGTTACTGTGTTTGGCATATCAAATACACCACGGGGAGCTTGCCAGGCTTTGCCGTGGGAGTCGGATACTCTCAGTAGCTTACAGGCTCTCTGAAAAGGGCGGAGGAATCGAATCCGGGTCGACCACATGCAAGGCAAATGCTCCACCCGCTGGGCTGTCATTGAGGTTACAAATAGGCAACCAGAGGTCTAGTTAAGGCTGTCAAAGTATTTATTGTAGGGCCCACTGTGTCTGGAAAACATGGATTAATTGAATACTGAGGGGAAGGGATTACTTTTAAAAATCCAGATTTCTCTCTTCTCCTGAAACCTGCAGTCTGGGAGCACTGTCGCCTCACTGCCATGTAACAGCCACACCCTGTAGAATCAGGGCTGTGGCTCAGATGAGCAGGTTCTCCCCAGTCCACTAATCTCACCCACCCCCAGTACCAAGCTGAATGTGGTTGCCATTAATCGACACCCTTGCATTGGGGCTTTTCTCATAGTGTTGTCCATTTATCTGGGTCTATTAGGATCAAAAGAGGGAAAACAAAATATTAAACCAAAGGGCTATGATATTTTTGCACATATTTCTTTGTGGAAATGAAGCTTCTTCCTATCCACTTAATCTTACCTTCAAAGGAATACATCCCTTGAGGCCGTCTTGAGCTCACTTATAAATTCATGGTCAGTTGGGTCCACGAGGCATAACTTGCCCATAGTCTGTTGTTACCAAATCAAACCCTTGGTAGAGTTAAAAGGTTTTATGAAATTTTATATATTTTAAAATGTGTCTAGGGACTCAAGAGATGGAACAGAAGACAGGGCCCTTGCCGTAAATGTGATCACTTTGACTGAGACTTGAGTTCTGTCCCTAGCACCACTTATATCCCCCAAGCACTTCCAGGTGTCACTTCTGAGCATAGAGCAAAGAATGGTCCCCAAGCACCCCTCTGTGTGGCTCCCAAATCAAAAATAAACAAATTAATGAAAATCTGTTAAAAGCTTAGTGTTCCCCTTGAGGGTCTAAGATTTAGATTTGCTGGGAGACTAACACCCAAGAATAGTAGAAATAAGTATCAGGAGGATTACTCCACAGCTTAAAAGTTGTCCTCACATGCTGGGGAAAAGGCAGCTCAGATAGAAAAGGGATCACCAAGTAAAGGGTGCCAGGAGGGCCCGCTCAGCATGGGAGATGCGGGTTGAAAGTAGACTATAGACCAAACATGATGGCCACTTAATAACTCTGTTGCAAACCATAACACCCAAAAGGAGAGAGAGAGCAAAAGGGAATGCCCTGCCACAGAGGCGGGGTGAGGAAGGGGGGTGGGGTGGGGGGAATACTGGGAACGTTGGTGGTGGAGAATGGGCACTTGTGGAGGGATGGATACTTGGATCATTGTGTGACTGAAATGCAATCACAAAAGTTGGTAAGTCTGTAACTGTACCTCACGGTGATTCACTAATAAAAAAATAAAAAGATTTAGGTTTGGGAGTCCAGAATCTGTGTTAGATAATACATGTCAGGAGATGCCTGCTCATCACTCCGTGCTGAAGGCCAGCAGCCCCTGACTAGAACTGAGGTCCATAACAAAAAGGAATCAGCCTTTAATTCCAGAAAACGTTCATTGGGTTCCACCTCTGTACCAGGCACAATGCTAAATGAATCATCATTTCATCTTTACCACAGCCCCATAGTGGATGTACTAAGACCCCACCGGGCTGCAGAGATGACTCAAAGGGCTGGGACACAGACTTTCCCTGCAGAGACCCAGAGTTTGATTTGTGGCACTACATGGCCCCACAAGAACTACCCCACTGAGTATGGCCCTGATAAACCCCAGAACCATGGCACTCCGGCAGCACTGCATGGCTCGGCCCAGGCACGAACTGTCAGGCTGGTGTAGCACCTGGGCCACCAACCACTGCTGGGGAGACCCAAAAATGAATACATGGTGCCAAAATGTTTCATGTATGAAACCCTACTAATAAGAGTCTTGTAAACCACAGTGCCTAAAATAAAATTAAATTGGATTCTTTTTTTAAAAAAATTTTTTTTTCAGCATCAGCAACTTTATTGAAATGGAGGGAAGCATCCCCCTCCCTCAGCCCTCCCTCTGAAATGCTGGCCGCTGTCTCTCACGATGGCGCACTCCGTGCTTTCTGCAACCCTAGAGGTTTTTGTAAACCAACAAATAACATAATTCCCCCATTTTATAGAGAAGAAATTAGGAAACTAGAGTAAAGTTGTAGAACTTTAGTCAGCAATAAAAGTAGAACTCAAAATTAGTTCTATTTGACTGTAAAGTTCTTGGTTTGTTTTCTTTCTAAATGTAATCAAATAGACAAACACATCACTAAAAAGGCAAGAAGTCTATCCTCAGGCACCACCAGATGTAGAGAGACTAAAAAACAAAGTCCAGAACAAGGGTTCCACACCAATTCTAATTTTCTCATTCTCTCCCCTCCGCACATACACACACACACACACACACACAAACTGATCCTAACCACTACATTGAACCTTTTTAAAATACATAAACGATAATGAGTTCAGATCAAATAAAAGAATTCGCAAATATTATGGAAACTATAGAAAACATTCTACAACACTTAGAAGAGATGACATGTTTGTAAATCAGAATTGGCGCACGCACACACACACGCACACACACACACACACACCACATTTCTAAGAGAGCTAGAGCCAGAAGGTAGGGCACTTGCCTGGTACTTGCCTGGGGATTGAACCCAGCACCATGTATACCAAGCCCCACCAAGAGTGATCCCTAAACACAGAGCCAGGACTAAGCCCTGAGTGCTATTGGGAGGGGCCTAAAAAACAAGAACAAAATGGGGGGGGGGGGGGGCTGTTACCAGTGTTATCCATATGGTTCACTGTGTTGGAATTCATGGTTTTCCTGAAGGAGGCCAGGATTTGATCCCTGGCATCACATTTCCCCCGAGCACAGAACCTACAATGCCTGAACTCCAGCAGTTTGCACCCCTAAAAAATTCAAAATAGATAAATGTATCAAATTAAAAAAAATACATGGCTAGAGAGATGGCACAGAGTTTTTTTAAAAATCTCTTTGCATGAAGAAACCCAAAGTTAGATCTGGAATATTTCAGAACCCTGAACACCGCCAAGAGTGCCCCCCAAGCTCCAAGTTGGGAGTCACCCCTGAGTACTGTCCGTTAGGGCTCAAAAACAAAAAAAAAATTAAAAATATGAATTCAAGGTATGTTCTCTCTAGTTTTTAAGGATTATTAACATAGTCATTATAAAATTGAGCCTTATATGTGTACATATATGAATTTTTCTTGGTAGAGAATCCTGAATTTTTGTCACATCCTTCTTTTGGGGAGTAGGAGATGGGAGGGGATTTTCCACAGCTGGTGATGCCCAGTGTTATTTCTGGCTCTGTACATGGGAATTACTCCTAGTGATATTCAGGGGATCAACCCTATGAATCCGGAAATCCAACCCAGGTCAAGCGCATGCTAGGCAAATGACTGCTCTCTCTCCAGCCCTTGATACATTCTTTTTGTTTGTTTTGTAGTTTGAACAGCTGAATACACCCAGCTGTTCTCAGGGTTTGTTCCTGGCTCTGTGCTCAGGGATCACTCCTGGCCATGCGCAGGGGACCGTATGCAGTTTCAGAAATCTGTTTGGTGTCAGCCTTGTGCAAGGCAAGTGCCTTAACCTCTGTACTACCACTCCAGGCTGTCAAATTCTGAAGCCTGTATCCCCCAGATAGCTTTAACAATCTTTGCTGTGTCCCCTAAACCATGGTATTCCTACTGTAGATCAGAAGACAGAGAAGAATCTTGGTCTTTATTTTAACCGGAAGAAGAAGAGCTAGACTCATGAGACCCATCCATGATGCCACATTATGTCCTGTTTATTAAACCAGTTGATCACTGCATGTCACAGAAGGCTTGCAGAATTTTTTTAATCTTTCACAGAACTTGAGTGGGATTCTGGGACTAGAGGTTGTTTCCCTTTGATCCAGGCTTCCCCACAACTACTGATTCCAGTGTCCACTCACACTTAAAACCGAGGGTTCCTTGACATTGTCCTTGCATAATTCCAGAGACTGACCAGTCTGAAATTAGCTATAGTTTTGGTTGGTGATACCTTCTGCCTCACTTATCAGTGAGGTTCCCAAGGTAATTTTATTTCATGTCTATCTCCTCTTTGGTTTTGGTCCACCCCAACAGTGCTCAGAGGACCAGCAGTGGTGCTACGGATTGAACCGGGGTCAGCTGCCTACACAGCAATAGCCTTAATCCCTGTACTATCCCACCCCCATTTTCAAACTTTTCAAAAAAATTATTAAAGCACCTGTAGCACTGTCCTCCCGTTGTTCATTGATTTGCTCGAGCGGGCATCAGTAACGTCTCCATTGTGAGACTTGTTACTGTTCCTGGCTTATCAAATACACCACAGGGCGCTTGCCAGGCTCTGCCATACAGGCGAGATACTCTTGGTAGCTTGCCGGGCTCTCTGAGAGGGATGGAGGAATCGAACCTGGGTCGACCGCGTGCAAGGCAAACACCCTACCCACTATGCTATCACTCCAGCCCTATTAAATCACCATGATCTATAAAATTACTTATAGTTGGGTCTTAGACATACAGTGTTCCAGCACTAATCCCACCGCCAGTGTCCTCTTCCTTCCACCAGGGTTCCCAAGTTCCCTCCCACACAACCCCATCTCAGACCTGCCACATTTTTAAGTTTGGTTGGTGACATGTGGATCTCTTGTGTTGTTAACTCTCCGGTTTGGACATTTATCTGGACTACTTTACATCACCTGCTCCTTTCTACCACTCCTTTACTTGGATTCCCTTGGCCGCTGTTCCTCTTTGCTTCCCATCTATCTCTTCTTTTCCCCTCGGTTTCTTTCCTTCTCTGTTCTCCTTCTTATACTCTGGGACCAAGGGAGATGTAGGCATACCTTTCATAGATTGCATTCCCTTCTGCAGTATCTCAGAGTATACCATATATACATGAGATCATACTGTGTCCTTCTTCTGGCTTATTTAACATGATATCTTCCAGTTCCATCCATGTTGCAGTGAATTGCATGATTTCGTTGTTTACCCCCATCTTTTAAATTTTATCTTAATGTACGTAAAACCACAACTGTTGATACAGTTCTAGAGTTGAAATGTATTGAATAACAAAGCTCCACTATTAAAATCAGTGGTCACGGTCCTCCCATTGTTCATCGATTTGCTCGAGCAGGCCCAGTAACATCTCCATCATTAGACTTGTTGTTACTGTGTTTGGAATATCGAGTATATCACAGGTAGCTTGCCAGGCTCTGCCGTGCGGGCGAGATACTCTCAGTAGCTTGCCGGGCTCTCCGAGAGGGGCAGAGGAATTGAACTCAGGTCGGCCATGTTGGCTGCATGCAAGGCAAACTCCTTACCGCTGTGCTATTAAAATCAATAAGCATAAAAAAATCAATTTTATGTGGAAATTGTTATATCTGATCATGAGATTGTTAAGTCCTTGTTTAAAGATCTGTTAAGCAGTCTGTTGCTCATTGAGCCTTCTGTGTTTATTGCTTTTGTTTGTTGGGTTTAGTTGGCGTCTGTGTTACTTTTGTATCTAATTTGGTGTGCTCCTATTGGAGTTTCATTCTTGAGGAGTTAGGAGGTGTCCAGAGACTTCAGGATCTATGGTCTGGGCCTGTGAGTTGACCTGGCAGCATCGGTGGGAGGCAGGCAGGGCTGCTGGGGCTTCAGGAGTCTGGGGAGTGGGGGAGGCTTCCGAGAAAGCAACTCCCAGAGTTCTAGCCTGGGCCCTGGGTACCTGTGATTATTCACAGTTTGGCGTCTCTGCAGAGACTATTAGGGAAGCAGTGGAGATGAGCCCCTGGGGTGACTGCAGCAATAGGGTGTGGGTGCAGCTGCCGGAGCTTGGGCAGGGCAGGGCAGGTACGCGGCCCACCCGACCCCTGATGATGCCCCAGAGGTTTCAGCCACGGGGACCTGTGTTTGCATGTATTTCAGCTGCCTGGTTTGCAACTACTTAGAGATTCAGTCAGGAATGGTTGAACTGAGCTGGTGGCTGGGTCAACCTGGTGACCTCTGTGGGAGATTCGGCCCCTGTTTTTCAAAACTAAGAAGTAGATGTCTAAGCTTCTATCCTTTCTGAATATCTGCTTTTTTTTTTAATTCAGGAACCATAGAAATTTTCAGAAATTTTCATAAATATTAAGACCTGGGCTGGAGCGATAGCACAGCGAGTAGGGCATTTGCCTTCCACATCGCCAACCAGACTGACCGGGTTCAATTCTTCCACCCCTCTCAGAGAGCCTGGCAAGCTACTGAGAGTATCTCAACCGCATGGCAAGGCCTGGCAAGCTACCCATGACGTATTAGATATGCCAAGCACAGTAACAACAAGTCTCACAATGGAGACATTACTGGGCCCCCTCAAGCTAATCAATGAACAACGGGAGGACAGTGACAGTGATTAAGACCTATGAGGAAGCAATTTGGCCCCTTAGAATTGTAACCTTACCCATCACTGGTCTCCTCGCATTTAACTAGGTCCCAGAGGCCAGTGACTCCCTAGTATGACAGGGAACATATTAGAAGCTTCTGTTGAGAGAACCATTAAATTAGAGAGACCAGCCTGGTAATTTGAGCCTGGGTGTGGAAAGCATTAGAAACTTTGCAGTTCTATAGAATGGCTACTCAGGGGCCAGAGCAGGTAGGGCATTTGTCTTGCATGCAGTCTACCAGAGTTCAAGTTCCAGCACCCCATATGGTCCATATGGTCCCCCAAGCCCTATCAGGAGTGATCTCTGAGCACAGAGCCATGAGTAACCCCTGAGCATTGCCAGTGTGGCCCAAAAACCAGAAGGAAATTTAGAAGAAAAAAAGAAGAAGAAAAGAAAAAAAGAATAGCTACTCAAAGGATGATGAATCTAAGGCTTTGGATTCTTCTCAGGATCTGAATCGGGCTCTGAGAATTGCTTCCAATTCCATGAGAGAAGCAGAATCACTTTGCATAGCACACAGCTCTATGAGCTCTGTGTGTGTGTGTGTGTGTGTGTGTGTGTGTGTGTGTGTGTGCGCGCGCGTGCGCAATGGAGACACATCATGAGCAAAAACTCACTCAAGCATTTTGTGTCCACTGTGTCCTCAGCCGAGGCTGAGAGGGTGGCTGGCCTGCTGCGGACTGGAAAGGGGAGTTCCCAGAGTAAATAAATACCGAATCATGAAGTCAGACTCAGCCAGAGGATGCCTGTGCCGCATGCCGACCTTTTCTAAATAAATCCTGAATGTAATAATAGAGGGGAGTATCATGAAAATGAAAAACAGCTGTATTAGGTGTTCCCAAAAGAAATTAACTCCACCTAATAGAACACAAAAACTAGTTAGCTATTTTTAAAAAATAAGTCCAGAGTTCAAATGGAATATCCCTATCACTTTATCAGTCAAAAAGTTACACAATGCACGGTGCCGATGTCTTCTGACTATCATTCCCAGGGCTGCCTGAGGGTTTCCATCTGCTCAGCTGGTCTATGAACTGAGGTCTATCGTCTCGGAGAGTTAGAGTGGATTTGTGGGGAAAGTGGGGGGCTGGTGATTTGAACAGAGAGCTGGAGAAAGAGAGAGCAGAGGTACCTCCACCTTCCCTTCCCCTGGCTTCTGAATGACCTTCTGGGTCTTCATTGCCTTCTCTCACTTCTGGGTCCTCTCAGATGAGCCTGGATCCCAGAGAGGCAGGTGGTAATCTGCGGGACGCATGTTCTTAATCTTGGCAGTGCCTCCCAGGATTTTGTTTCCTGGGCATTCAAGTGAGAAATGGAAAGTTCTCCAGCTTCCACCCTCTCCTTTCTTCCCCCAGCTTATCACAGTTCAGTGAAGAGAACATGATGGACCCCTACAATCTTGCCATCTGCTTCGGGCCCTCGCTGATGTCAGTGCCCGAGGGCCATGACCAGGTGTCCTGCCAGGCCCATGTGAATGAGCTGATCAAAACCATCATCATCCAACATGAGAACATCTTCCCAAACCCCAGGGAGCTGGAGGGCCCGGTCTACAGCAGAGGAGGAAGCACGGAGGATTACTGGTAAGGGACAAGGGGAGGGCGGGCATCACCAGCGCCCACTGACATGGGAGCCGGCTGGCCAGGCCAGGACCAAAGGGAAGCTCAAGTTCTCCAGATGCTGCAAGCGCCAGGAGCTAGGGATGGTGAGGCCAGTGCCCCACCCTGACCTGATTTCCAGTTAAGTGCCATCTCACATCACTTCCCTTTTAATGAGTTCTGAATGGCAAGGGGCACTGAAGAAGAAAGACACAGCAACAGCGGGATTCATAAGCTCCAGGAAGGGAAGTTCCATCGGTCACTGATTGTGCCGCTGTTCTTCCGTCAGCAGATTTGGGCTCCTGTTCAGTGCCTAAGAAAGGGTCCTGGCCCCAGTGGACTTCTCTTTTCCTGGGAAGAGTTTAGGTAGTGGAGAACAATTTCCCAAGACTGAGTTTCTCAGGTGATAATTCAGGGCGATTTCAGAAATGATGATGAGAAGGAGGCGTGAGGGCATAGTTTTGTTTTCAGTACGTTGGACACAGCTCCGCTTCCTCGGATGAGATTAAATTTTAGAGGGTGAGGTTTTTTATGTGACCTTCCCTGGTAGCAGAGATTTTAGAAAGGACTTCCGGGCCATATCACCGCTCAAGTATTCCATGAGACAAATCACCAATCACTTTATCCAGTTTGAGATGGTCTCCCAGCTCAGGCCACCCCCGTGAGGGGGATTCCAAATCTGCTCTGTGTCCATTAAAACAAGACCATCCACTACACACACAGTGGCATTTCCCACTGACCACAAGACAGCGGCCCCTCCCTTTCACTTCCTGGTATTCCTTGCCTCCTCAACTTCCTCCCCTCTCCTCTCCCTCTAAATAATGTTTCAGCCTGGGCTGAAAACATAAGCCAATTCAAATCGGATTTTGTCTGATTTTTGACATCTGGAACCAATTCCACCAGCCCCACTGCTACCAACTGAGGGGGCAGAGGGAGGTTATTTACTTAATTAGAGGCCGATTGGCCCACACCTCTCCCTTATCCCTGCAGGCCTCCTGGCCCAGAGTGAAGAAGGCACCATGACATCAGTGGCTTCCCTGGATCATTCCTCACCTCTCCTCACTCCCACTCTCTGAAGCCAGGCAGGAAACGCTGGAGCTTGCCAGCTTAGAAAGAAGGTTTTTCCGTCCTAGCCAGATGGCTGGTGGGGATCAGGGTTATATGGGCTCAAGCGACTGGCTGGTGAGGAACTGTCCTGTACCTGTAACTTTAAAAGTTAGCTTCCCCCTCCTACCTCTGCGGAAAAGCAAAGAGTGGTATTCCTAGTCCCTGCTTCCTTCTATCGTCCACTCTCCCTTCTCGAGTGTCAGTCCTCTGCAGGCTCTGGACTTGCCCCAGGTCCCCCACTGCTCTGCCGCCCAGCCCAGCCCACGACACATACTCCACTCCCCCTCCCTGCCCTGCTGTGCATCAACATTTATTAGCAACCTCGGTTAATTCCAGATGGTCAGTCAGCATCACTACCACAGATCTGTTAGGAAGCCAGAGGCCCTTGAAGATCAAGAGGAAGTGACTTAGAAATAAAAGGGACCATCCAGCTCCTGGATTCCGCCTTCTGGAAGGTTCCAGCCTCTCCTTTTCCTTCGTTAAGAAGAGAGGGAAGTTCCAGCAAAGTGATTTAAGACCCTTGGAGGAATAGGAAGGGTGGCAAGAGGGGAAGTAGAGCCCCAGAGCCCTGGAGAATGACAATGAGACCAGAACATCAGAGAGAGAGGAGTTCCAGGCCTCTCTGCAGCTGTGGAGAGAGGAGGCCAATTAATCCCTTCCCACCTGCTGACCTTCCCTGACCCACCCTCACACTGGGACCAGCTTCCTAGGCTTGCCCGCCCTGTGGCAGGCTGCGCTTCTCAGTGTCGGCCTGTGGATTTATTGTCTTGAGAGATACCCAAGGCACTCCGAAGTGTGAGAATTGCCTTCTTTCTTTGGACAGTCACATAAATTAACTCAAAACCCAGGAAGAGTGATTCACGTTAAAGGATTTCCATAATGTTACCAAACTCATTAGAAGATTTTTAGGCCTCGAAAACAGTGAAAAAGTATGCCCATGGTTTTTTGTTTGTTTGTTTGTTTGTTTGCTTACTTGTTTTTGACAAAGAGGAATTCCTGTTAATTTCCCAGAATAGTTATTAGAATCTGAAGGGTTTCCTAGGAATTGATTTGCTTAAGCGGGATGAGTTCAGAACCGAAACCCAGTCCTTGAGTAACCTTCTAGCGGTGACAGACTCATCCAGTGCTGGGAGAAGGTGCTGGGCTCAAAAATGAAACTGGGATCCAGGCTGTGGAGGGGTGTGAGTGCTCCCAGGAGGGACTCACTTGTTTCTGGGACTGTCAGAGAAGATTTTGCAACAAATAAGTTTCCACTTTTCAGGAAGTAAGAACTCCCAAGTCTTTCCCATGGACTGTGAGGTCCAAGAGCCAAGAGACTGGGAAAAGAATCAACTTTCCTAGAACTTCCTTGGCCATTGACAGTCTTCTACCCTAGAAGAGTTTAGACTCTGAGTATTTGTTCAAGAACTTGACTTGGTTTCCATCCTGCCTTCTTGCAAGCTCAGTCCACAGCCAGCTCTTCTGCTGCTGTTCTTGTTTCCTGACTCCCACCACCACTTCTCTTAATGCACCCCTCGCCTTCTCACCAGTACCCAGGCTGATACTAGTCCAGGGCAGCCTAGAAACATCCAGCAAAGTGAGAAGGAAAGGAAGTCCCACTCTCTTTCCAGGTTCTTTATGCAATTATGTTCCTTTCCAGAGTCTTTTTTTTTTTTTGGCTTTTTTGGGTCACACCAGGCAATGCACAGGGGTTATTCCTGGCTCTGCACTCAGGAATTATTCCTGGCAGTGCTCAGGGGACTGTAAGGGATGCTGGGAATCAAACCCGGGTCAGCCGCATGCAAGGCAAATGCCCTACCCGCTGGTCTGTCACTCCAGCCCCTTCTTTCCAGATTCTTTACAGAATTATTATTTTTTTTAATCCTCACACAATTCTATGTAGAACACAACCACTATTCTCCACTTATAGATTCAGCAGCTAATCCCTTCGAGAGAGGAAGTAACTTGCTCAAAGTTATGCAACTGCCACGTGCGTAAGCTGGATTTTGTGCAGAGCTTCTCTGTACAAAAGAGAAGAGTCTTGTGACAAGCACTGATCCCCATCCCTCATGCTTCTGTTGCAGTGACAGCCCTCACGGAGAGACCATCTCCACGGAAGACTCCACCCAGGATGTGACCACCGAGCACCACATGAGTGATGACGGTACAAGGCCCTGCATGCTGCTCTTCGGGGGGGGGGGAAGAGGGCCATGGGGCAGGTATCTTGGTCGGAAGGGACCTGGTCTCCTGCGCTCCTCATGAACCTTCCTTCCCAGCAGTCTGCTGCAGACAGGAGGGGGCACATTGTTTCATCCCTCCCCTCCTCAGAGACGCAGCCCTCCTCTCATACAGACTGGTCTTCATATTACACTCGAAGCTCTGTCCCTTTCATGCCCTCCACCCTCATGCCCAAAATCTTACCCCGCACATGTTTTAGCTCCTCATTCTGTCTGTCTGCGGTGTGATGTGGGGTCCCTGTCACAGGCCAGCCCAGGTAACTAGAGAGTAAATGCGATGCCTGGGGCGTCTAGGGAAGCTCGGGGCCAGGAAGGCCGCCGAAGCAAGGTGGAGAGAGTGAGAACCAGACTTCAGACCATGTGTTTGCACGATGCCTACTGGAAACGCTGACCCTTCTCAAGGGACAGACAGGCGAGGGCCACGCAGCCTGGCGCACGCACATGCATCAAGCCGTGGAATGTGCAGCTGGCACCCACCAGCTCTGCCTATGATTTATTAACGTCTCTAGCCAGCAGATTCTCTTCCTTCCTATAGATCCCCGCCTCCATTTATGAATCACTTGGACTCCAGAAGTCTCAGCAGCTGACACAGGGCCTCAGAATATTTTGGCACGAGAAATGGCACAGTTTGCAAAGCCTTTCTGCTTCCTGCCTTGCTGTGAATTCTGTAATTCTAAGCCGACTCATAAAGAGGGAAAAATTAGGCCTGTTTACTTGGATCCTGATATCAGATGGATTCATATGATAATTTGCCAGTGAACCAGGGAAATTCTTATTTGCCTGTGACCTACTTTGTGCCCAGCACTGCAAGATGCTTTATCTCATAAGTCCTTGTGAAATCATTATAGCCTCTATTTTAAAGTGAGGAAACGGGGGGCAGCAAGGGTGAGCAGCATAGTCAGACTCTACAGAACTGAGGCTGGGACATCTAGGCAAGCCTTTTCTGCATCCGTAGCAGACTCCAGCCCTGCTCCTCCCCCACCCCCCCCAAAGCTGTTCCCACATCATCTTACACTTAAGTGACCTTTCTCTCAACTACTCAGGGTATGTGACCTTAACCTCAGGATCCAGGGTCCTGGGAGTTTCCTACTTGCTCTCTGGCCTCTGCCTGCAGCCTCAAAAGCATAATGATAATCGCATTAATCATGGCATCTATGCCACGGCACTTACTACAGAGCCCAGGTGCTGCCCCAAGCACTTGTTGTGAACCAACTCTTCATAACAACTTCTCCAAAAAGGCTCCATCCTCCCCATTCTACAGAGGAGAGTGAAACTATAGTGCTTTTGTTTTGTTTGGGGACCACACCTGACTGTTCTCAGAGCTGACTCCTGGCTTTGTGTTCAGGAACCACTCCTGGCAGGGCTCAGGGGATCCAACCAGGGTCAGCCACATGCATGGCAAGCACCTTAGCCACTGTATTATCTCTCCAGCCCCAGAATATATAGCTTTCATAACCCCTTTCAATTTTCCAAATCACTTTTCCGCACAGTTTCTATATATTGTTCACAAAACACATTTCCATAATTTTCTCCCTGGCCAATTGATTGGGCAAGTTATTTTCTCTTTATTGAGACTGATGTCTGCTCAGGGACATGATAACATCAATTATTTACAGTACAAAATATGACTGGGATACAGTTAATAGCATTATTTTCTAACCTAAATAGACATAATTCTTTGCAAGTACAGTATAGGAAGTTCAATAGAGTGCCAGATAGCACCAAAGAAACACAGAAGAAGTGTCTGTGGGAAGCTGGTGATGTTTTAAATTCTCCTTCAATGTGTTTTGTCGGGCAGATAAGAGAGAGACAGAGGCAGTCAGGGATGCATCTTTTGCATGCACTGGGACATGAATTTAAAACCTGGCATGTAGATGCCCCCACCACTACCACATGTGGTTCTGGAGACCCCCAACTGCCAGGGTAGCCCTGGTTGTCCTCCCAGCACTGAACCATCATAACCAGTTGGCCAGGTTTTACTCAGAGTAGCTGCTTGGCCCCCTCAGCTCGGGAGCCTGTCTCCCCAAAAGCAAAGAGCAAAGATTCCCGGGAGAGGGACAGTGTGAGTAAAAGCCAGCACAGACTTCCAGGTGCTGGCCATCCCTGGGGGGGGCGGGGGGGGGGGTCCCCTGCTTTCCTCAGCCGCGGCTTATTTGCACGCTCCCTGTCCTCGTTGGTGCAGCTGCTTGGTCTTTTCCATCCAGCTGCACAAGCCCGTGGGTCCCCACACCACAATCACGATCACGATCATCCTGTTGCTCATCGATTGCCTCGAGCAGGCACCAGTAAAGTCTCCTTCGTCCTAGCCCTGAGATTCTAAAAAGTGCCACATTCAAGGCTCTTTCAGGGTTAGGAGAATGAGACCCATCATTGTTACTGGTATTCGGCATATTGAGTACGCCACGGGGAGTTTGCCAGACTCTGCCGTGTGGGCAGGTTACATTCGTTTCCACACCTCACATTTCCTTTTCTGCCCCTCTTAGAGTGTGAGCCCATCGAGGCCATTGCCAAGTTTGACTACGTGGGTCGAACAGTGCGAGAGCTGTCCTTCAAGAAGGGAGCGTCCCTGCTGCTTTACCAGCGGGCTTCGGATGACTGGTGGGAAGGTCGGCACAACGGCATTGACGGACTCATCCCCCATCAGTACATCGTGGTCCAAGACACGTACGTCGGCGTCCTGCTCCTTGATGGGTCCCCGGCCCCACTGTTGCAGAGAGACCTTACTTCTGGGATCACTGGGGAATGAGGGAACAACAACCCCAGCTGGGCGCTAAACAGTCCTGCCATCACATACCTTGGAGGTCCCTAGACTCAGAGATTAGGCTTGAATGCTCCACTGCTGCTCCCTGCAAATCATTCCTCCACCCCAGGCATTCTAGTAACTTTTCAGCCAGACTCATTCAGACTTAAAACTGATGAATGATAAGGATGGCTTATTATTTAACCACTTACATTTCCCTCCTGATATACATGCATATATATGTACACATGCATATACACATACATATATATGTGTGTATACATATATATTTTTCTCCTATATTATTTTTTTTTGTTGTTGATTTGTTTTTTTAAGTAATCCCCAGTGCAGTACTTCTTACTCCTGGCCCTGCACTCAGGGGTTACTCTGGTGGGCTTGGGAGACTATGGGGTGCTGGGGATGGAACCCTGGTCGTCTGCATACAAGACAAGTGCCCTCCCTGCTGTATTATCTCTCTGGACCCCCCTCCAGTTTTGGGGGATGGGGGGATGGCTGGAGAAGTTGTTTTTGTTTTGGCAGCCACACCCAGCAGTGCTCAGGAATTACTCCTGACTCTGCTCTCAGGAATCATTCCTGGTGGGCTCTGGGGTGCCAGAGATCGAACCTGGGTTGGCTGCATGCATGGCAAATTTCTTACCCGCTGTGCTGTCATTCATTCACCCCATTCTTTTATGCCCTCTGATGGCACTTTTCCACTTGCAAGTAAAAAAGGATGAATTCCTTTCCTAGGAGAAATCTATTAGCTTAAGCAATCTCATGGAACTAATCCAGTTGATTGAACCCAGATGATGCTGACTGGAGGAAATATGGGAGGAGAGAAAGGAAAGGAGGTGGGGAAACTGAGGGAACGTGATCTCATCCTAGAGAGGCTCCATGGAATGGACATTTCTTGAGTGGGAAGGCTGCCCCTACCTCACCCATCCCAGTCAGGCTCCCAGGCTGCCCATGGCTCCCTTCCCTCCGATGCACTCTAGTCAGTGTTTTTAGACCTTCCCTTAATATTATTTTTTAAAGGTTAGTTTCCTAAATGAGCCTGTACCATCCCACCCACTTCTCCCTGGCTTGTCCTGTTGGGGAAATCCTCCCTCTGTCAATAACATCACAAACCTGGTGGTACGGGGACAGGACCCTCCCAAGTTTAGTGTTATTACTATACTACAGGATTGAGAGATGAACGGTAGGGGAGAAAGGGTTTTCTTTGTCATCAGTAGCTAGGGGGTCCGGAGCGCAGTGGGAGAGCCTGGGACCCATTGAATGCTGTAGGCAGGGCTCCATGCGCTACAGCGGCAGGATGGGGGGTCCTGCTTCAGTGCAGCCTCTCCACAGCCTCCTCAGACCTGTTTTTATCGGGCAGGCTCAGGACCTCAGCAGATAGGTGGCCGCTTGCCCCAGGAAGTACCCCACCCCAAGTGTAGGGGAAGAGACAGGTGCCTCAAATCCAGGTGCCCCCTAGCCCAGCTTACCTGAGGAGCAGACGATCCCGCAGAAATAACAGGAGTATTTATTCTTACTTAAACCAGCCTCCAAAGTCCCTCCCTGACCGGCTAGCCCGTCCAGGTATGGCTGACGCAGAGTGTCATAAGGTCACGTCAGTGTGTTGACTGTGAGTGTGTGTCTGTCTGTGTGTCTGTCTGCGGGCGGGAGATGGGGGGGCCGCATCTTGCCACTTTAACGCTGCTTTTTGTATTGTCTCCCCCTCCGTTCCTGCCTGCTCCTTCTCCCCCAGCGAGGATGGTGTCGTGGAGAGGTCCAGTCCCAAGTCTGAAATTGAGGTCATTTCTGAGCCACCTGAAGAAAAGGTGACAGCCAGAGCGGGGGCCAGCTGTCCCAGTGGGGGTCATGTAGCTGATATTTATCTTGCAAACATCAACAAGTAAGCTCTGCTTTCATTTTCTGCTCCCTGACTCGCAGGCCCCAGCCTCACCCTCTGGCCTAACCCCCTCCGTTCCTGTGTTGCTCGAGGCCTCCCGCGGGCCTCCCTCACGTTTGCATGGATGTGCTCATCGCTGCTGCCAGGGGCAGGGCCGAGGCAGGTCCCACCTCAGCTCCCTGCCATCCCCCTGCGCGGGGCGCTCCACTCTGTTCCACAGTGTCTGTCGGCTCAGACCTCCCTGTTTGGCCTGCTGCTAAAACTCTGGCCAAAGCTTTGGCCTCTTTATGCAACTTGGTTTTTGTGACTGTTTCTCAAGGGTGCCTTTCTTTCTTTTCTACTTCTTTCGCAAATTATGGTCTTTGATGTCTTCCGTGCGACCCCCCCCCCCCCCCCATCTGTCCAAAGATCCAGTCTTGTGTATCTTCTGCCGGACTCCCGTTCCCCTGGCGGGTCAAGCTGGAGATGGCGTGTTTGTTTCTCCCCTGCTCTTGCATTCACACCCTCGGAGGGAAGGCCACCACTCCACACCCAGGAAAGCTGAGCCCGTCCTTCGTTGCCTAACCCAACTTCCCTTTTCTTCCGCCTTTTCATAGCTCTAGAAATAACTTTCCATTTTCCTCCTTCTGCTTTAGCCCTGTGTACTTCTCTTCCCTGTTAGCCCCTTTGCAGATCCCCTCTCCTGTCCAGCAGGCTCTTAACTCTGCCCCCCTCAGCTTTCACTGTGGCTGTTAGCAACCTCCTGGGGTTTTCACTCCACCTCCACCCGATCCGGAGGGATTCCACCGCTGTGTGCTGCTGCCTCCCCTAGAGACATGCAGGTTATTGGAGAACTAATCTCATCTCAAGGGGCCAGACACCAAGTCCCAAAGCCTGCAGACCTCTTTCCGCCAGACCCTGAGACCTGGCCCCGTGCCAGCGGGATGACAAGCCCCAGGGCGCTCCTGATGACTGTGGATTGGAGATGATGTACAGTTTTTATTCCCCTCTGGCTTTGGAGGAATGAAATGATTTGCACATTGAAAACCTGTTAACTGTAGCCTCTGGACACTGAAACTGGAAGGAGAATAAAAGATGCTTGTTGTTTTCAAACTGCACCAGGTCGCCCGGATCTCTTGGCTTTCTTCCAACCAGACGATAGGAGGGCGGGTGGCTGGGCACGTGACTCTTTCCATCTCTTTCACCCTCTGGTTTGTAAAGGAGTTATTCAGCTCGCTTAATATAGCTATAATTTCAGTCAGACCAGTTTGGGGAAAAAAAAAAAAAGACTGAGAATTCCATTTATTTCCCTCTAACCCTGCTGGGAGGGCAAGCTGTCAAAAAGTCACTGTGGACTAAACACATTTTTTTTCCTTATTTACTAGTTTATGTTAATTATATCCCTATAATTATAAGGTCGTAGACTATAATTAACCCAGAAACCAAGGCAGAGTTGATGGAGGGAGAGTGCTGTAATTAGTTCGGTACATGTCTTGTGCAGTAATTAGTTAGGTACATATTTGTACGAAGAAGTGAAGAGAATAGCAGCTGAAGTGGTCAAGCGAGGAACATCTGGTAGAGAATGAAGGTGAACTTGACCTTTCCTTGAACTCCATGTTTGATGGTGTCAGGATTGGGTTCTTGAAGGAGATGGTCTACCCCAACATTAGCAGTCAGTGGGTGAGCTGTAGCCCACCCACCCACATGTCTTACCCCTAGGAATGGTACCACCATCTGGTGTCAGCTTCTGCCCCTTTCCATCCCTCCCCACGTTCCCAAGCTCCCTGACTTTCCTAAGTCCCCCTGGGCTCTCTCACCCCAGACTTCCACATCTGCTGTCTCCTCACCTGGCCAACCCTCCTCTTTAGGGAAATCTTTCTGACAGCCTAAGTTCCTCAGAGCATTGAGGTAGATGCCCTTATATTGTATTCCATAAGTCATTGTAGTCAGTCTCAAGACTCACACTATACTTAGGTCTCCCAGCACATGAGTTTCTCGGCGCCAGGCGTCTTCCTCTCCTTGGATCCCCAAACCCTACCGAGCACCTGACACACACCAGCTACTTCACGAATCTGCCGCCTCAGCGGGTTTAGCCTGTGTGTCAGCCTTCCTCCAGTGGAAAAAAAGGCAATCAGCAAGGAGTTATTAAGTAAGGGATGGCATTTCAGCTTATTTCCATAGCTTCACTGAGTACCTGCAGTTGTGCTAAGCGCTGATGCCAGTTATTCAGAGTCCCTTTCCTCTGAGCTCACAGTCTGACGAGGCAAATGCCACATAATCAGGTAACTAAACGGTAACTATGAAGGAGCTGAAGAAGGACGGATCCACTCTCCCTGCCATTGGAAACAAAGAGTCATTTTAGCCGGGCTCTCTTAAGACTCTGAGAACGTCCTTCGTACACTGGAGAATGGCTGGCACCCAGAGTTAACAAGAGGCAGGGGAGCTTCATGGAGTGTCTGCTATGGGACAGGTCCCAGGCCAGGTCTAGGATATAGAGATGAGGAAGACCCACCAGTGAGCAGGACCAGGAACGGCTTAGAACACAGCCACACACTCCGATTCCTTCTCCTCAGAGGTCTGCTTTCTTTTCTCACATCCTCACCTCCCACCTCAGCCCCAGTTGTCCTCAGTGGTCAAGAGCTTTCCCACTTCCGTTCCACACCAGAATTTTCATTGCTTCTTTTATTAGGTCTTTGAGAATCTAAATCTCAGAGAAAATGAAACTGCTCAGCAACAGGAAATCCCCAGATAAGTAGGACTCTGCCCAGCCCTTTCATAAGGAGCACCTCAGAGGTCTGAAACAGACTCCCTTGGAGCCAGGGCTCCACCCAGCACTGGTGACCTAGGATTATATAGATGTTTCCACCCTAAGGAAACGCACGGCTCTGCAGCATCACAGTCCTTTGAAAACTATTCTGTTCCATGTCTGCAGAACGAGCAACAGTAGCCTCTTGCCAGAGTCCAAAATTACAGTCTTGTAACTGGACTGAGAAACATGCTAAAATTCAGGAAAGCCAACTTCTCTTCCCAGCAGTACCCTACTTCTTGGTGATGGTGAGAATTCTTCTCTTACCCCGGCCATAGGTTTCTGTTCAAAAGCAGGTAATGGAGTGGGCCTTTCCGTAAATCTGTCTCCTGTTAGAAACTTTCGCTTAATCAACATTTTTCCTGACAGCAGCTTGCATCTTAAGAACTCAAAGCCCACGGCCACCAAGTAAGTATGCGTTTCTCCTTTGCCCAGGTCGGGGGTGGCAGGGAAACAGACAAAAGGGAAACTGAGGAGAGGACATGCTCTGTGTTCCTCTCCTTCCAGAAGTCCCTGGGTACCAGAATCTGCCCCTCTCTCACTTGTCCAAGCTTCCTCATCGCCCAGGGCTCCCTGGTCACTCTGCCCTTTCTGTTTGCGATTGAAGGCAAAGGAAGCGACCAGAATCAGGGAGCATCCGGAAAACATTTCGGAGCGACAGCCATGGGCTGAGCAGCTCCCTGTCTGACTCTGCCTCCCCGGGGCCTAGCTGCCGTCCATCTTCCCAGCCCATCATGAGCCAGAGTCTCCCTAAGGAAGGGCCTGATAAGTGTTCCATCAGTGGGCATGGCGGCCTCAACTCCATCAGCCGCCACTCATCCCTGAAGAATCGACTCGACAGCCCCCAGATCCGGAAGACAGTGACAGCAGGAAGGTCAAAAAGCTTCAATAACCATCGGCCCGTGGACCCAGAGGTCATCGCACAGGTAACCGCGGGCCTGGACAGACAGCTGGCATGAGTCTATAGCTGGAAACAGGACAGTGCCTGGTACGGCACAGACAAGTTTAGGGACTGTCGGGCCTGTTCAGACTCTCCAGGAAATTCGTTTACCCTTTCCTCCCCAAGAATTCCAAGCTAGAATGAGAGATTTAGGGCTTCCTTAGCCAGAGAGATAGGAACACCAGGAAGGTGCTTCCCTTTCACATGGCCTACCTGGGCTCAATCCCTGGCACCACACATGGTCTCCTGAGCCCCACCAGGAGTGATTCCTGAGCACAGAATCAGAAGTAAGCCCTGAGCACCGCCAGTATGGCCCCCAAACAAAAACAAAAGTGGGTTTTCCTGCTCTCATGTGGGCTGTTTTGCAAAGTGGTTGTAACTTTCAAAGCCAGATTGACTTTGAAAAAGTCCTTTCAGCCAGTTTCTGGATCTTGAGGCCCCAATAGCCTTGAGTGAAACTGCCCCCATTTTAAGGCTAGTCGTGGACATTGCCCGAAGCACCCCTCGGGTCCCTATTGGTAGGTAGGTGATCCATCAGTCAGTCTGCTTCTGATTTTAAAGGTTCCAATAGCAGGAGCTCCAGCCCGTCCCCCAGTACAGTGGTGACAAGCTCCCTGCTTAGAACATGTTTTTTTTTTCCTTCTGTGTTTGACCACACTGACGCATCTCTGTTTTTCATGAACTATTAGCGATCCAACCCCACCTCTAAAACTCCAGCTACCGGGGCCACTACTCCAAGCAGTTCTCTCAGATGTCTCTCCCAACTCTATAATTTTCATTAGACCAGGTAGGAACGAAGGGAACCCGCTTTCGTCTCAACCTCATTGAGATTCTCCCCCACTCCCCCACAGCTCTCAGGGGCAGTAGAGGCTGGGCATGCTCTCTCCTGGCTTCCCTGTGCTGCTCTGCATAGCGGGAGGGTAGCTGGCAAGCTCAGCGGTAAGCTGTGGCCCTAGATGTCTTGCTTGGCTGGGCTTCTTCCATGCCTGTCCTTACACTCTTGGCTGCAGTCTGCCTTGTACCACGTGGGTCCCAGCTCCCTCCTTGGCCAGGTGTTCATGGAAATGACAGAGAAAGAAGCAGTGAGCACACGCTCTGGCTGCAGGGTAAGATGAGGAGGAGGAGGAGGAGGAGGAGGAAGAGGAGGAGGAGGAGTGGTTCTTCCTCAGCATTTGAAAAGATTTGGGATCCTAGGGATGAATGAAGTTGAATCCTTGACACTGGGAAGCAGGGATCATCTTGTAGGACTCAGTTCTAACCAGGGGCCTTTGCTTAGAACCTACAATCTTTCAATGTGAGCCTAATCCTGAGGGAGGAGCTTGGGGTGGTAATTAGGGGGTGTCAGACATAAGTGTGGGATGAGGGCGGGAGGGAGCTGGGAAGCAGCTGGCTGCATAAAATTACTGTTTCCTTGGTTCTGCCTTGAGTCCTGAAGCTAGAGCTGTCACTTCCTCCGGCACAGATGGCAACTCACCCATGTGGGCTCTAGCTCCCCCTGCGGGTCATTCTTTGGTCTCTTCATGGTGATGGGCGGAAGGAACCGGCTTCTTGGGGTTAGGCACTTCTGTGGCATGGGATGCAATATGGGGGGTCCTGATGAGTCTTCAGGCCAGGGCTTTGAACCTGTTTTCGGTCCTTGAAGAGGAAGGAATGACCCCTCAACCTTTGGCCTTGAAGTCTAAGATAACAGCAATCAGAATTAATGCCTACTGTTTGGGGGGGTCTTTTTTTTTAAGTTTATTGTGTATGATATCAAACATAAATTGGGCCTGGAAAGTCAGTACAGCAGGCAGGGCATTTGCCTTGCACACAGCCGACCCAGGTTCGATGCCTGGCACCCCATAAACACAGCTGGGTGTGGCCCAAAAACCAAACAAACAGTAAAGAAAATTGGATCATCTCATGTACTTAACAAAACTCCTGGCCACACTTAAGGTAAAGGTAAAGGCCCTCCCGTTGATCGTCGATTTGCTCGAGCGGGCCCAGTAACGTCTCCATTGGAGACTTTGTTGTTACTGTGTCTGGCATATCGAATACTCTCGGTAGCTTGCCGGGCTCTCCGAGAGGGGCGGAGGAATCGAACTCGGGTCGGCCATGTTGGCCGCTTGTAAGGCGAACGCCCTACCCGCTGTGCTATCGCTCCAGCCTGGCCACACTTAGATCTTCCACTTTTCCCTTCACTAGATTATGTGTCACTTGTCCACAAACTTGTCCGTGAATATTTGCAAAATCAACTTGAAAAGAGTTTGAGTTACTATTTTCTAGGACAACAACCAAAAAATTTCCTTAAGAACGAAAATCTGTTTCACCTCCCCACCATTCTGAACATTCATCTGTTCGAGGATGGGGGCCAAATTAAATAAATAATCCGGACCTCTCACGGCGGGTTTCTTCCTGAGCATCTGGAGGTGTCTCCCGGGGTTAGCCTCACCTCCTCCCTTTCTCTGTTTGCAGGACATCGAGGCGACCATGAACTCGGCCCTGAACGAGCTGCGCGAGCTGGAGCGGCAGAGCAGCGTGAAGCACACCCCTGATGTGGTTCTGGACACGTTGGAGCCCCTCAAAACGTCCCCCGTGGTGGCTCCCACCTCAGAGCCTTCCAGCCCCCTGCACACCCAGCTTCTCAAGGACCCCGAGCCCTTCCAGCGGAGTGCCAGCACTGCTGGGGACATCGCCTGCGCCTTCCGGCCAGTGAAGTCCGTGAAGATGGCTGCGCCAGTGAAGCCACCAGCCACACGGCCCAAGCCCACCGTCTTCCCCAAGACAAATGCCACTAGCCCCGGAGTCAGCTCATCGGCCTCCCCGCCGTCTACTGACAAGTCTTGTACTGTCTGAGGGATGGCGGATTGTATTGTTCCAGGCCAGGGGGCTGACTGTTATTAAATTCTTTCTATTTAACTAGGTCGGGGCTTCAGTTGAAAGTTAGATTCTCCGTTGTCCTGGCAGGAATTAGCCTCCCGTCACCCAGAACCTTGAGAATGAAACCCTTGTTAATGCCCTGCCTTGCCCTTCCCACTGTCGTCTGCTTCCTCCCCCATCATTGTAATCCCACCCGCTTCCGTGCATACTCTCCTTAGGTTAGCCAGAGGTAGCTCTTCATTCTCAAGTCACTGTGAAATCTGGCAGGGCTCGTCACCAGGACATGGGCTCAAGTCTTGATCCCCTCGGAAACAAGTGACTGCCTAACCAGATAGTCAGCTGCTGACATCCAGCGCTCAGTGGCACCATTTTTTGGGTACTATTATAGAGAATCATAGATAGTCCATTCTTTACACACATGCACACACGCACACACGCACACACACACACACACACACGGATTTTTTTCGACTCTGGCATGTGTAGCCTCTCCTGGTTTAGACCAATCTTTTTCTAAGTTATTGTGGCAATACACGCAGGAGCCACCAGAGGTCTCTGTTTCCATTCTAAACCTTGTTCTGTCTAGGCCGAAGAGCCTAACTTTTGAAATTGCTCCAATATATCAAATTTAGCAGAATGAGACTCGATTCTGCAGTTTGGGGGTTAGGGGCCCACTCTCTCTCTCTTCTTTCTACTGGTATGAATTGTTCATTAGTGTTCGCGTTTGTTCTCCTCTGTCCTCTAGAACTACAACCCAATCAAGTTTTTCTGAATGTATAGACACTTCTCGGGTTCCTATCTTTGTAATTGAAGGATCATTTCCATTTAAGACATTTTCCTGTATAAGATCACTTTATAGCTGATTCTTTTAAGATAAAAAGTCTTAAGAGGGTGGTATTGTGTTTATGGCAGGTTTGGAAAAGGTAAAAAATGGGTCCTTTTCCCTCTCACTCTTTGTGTGCAGTTAAGACATAGCACCAAAATTGTTAGCAAATGAAAACACCGGAAGCTCCTTTTTTCTTCTACAAGGACTCCTGGGGGACCAGAGAGGGTTTAGAGAACACTAGTTACATCAGAGGTTTCCAAACTTACTTGTCCTACAACCCCTTTACAGGAGGGGGGGGAAAAAACGCACCCAGTAAACCCCTGGAAACCAACTATCTTTAAGTGAACAAATAGCCCCTCACAATTTGAACCAGAAGCGACTACCAGCTCCCTGGATTATGCTGCACCCCAGGAAATCGTATCACCACCCCTCCCCCCACCCTTTGGAAAACACTGAGTCAGAGTAAAGAAAGACACTGCCCTTTAACTGGTTTTCCTTTATTCAGACAAGGACAACTAAGAAAACTTTGGCCCCATAGGCTCTGAAATCTCCTTAAGGCTAGAATTTGGACAAAATACAAATCATATGCTAATTTTCCCCTTTATTTTCTTCCCCCCAAAGAGCAAACTTATTCCCATGTAATCTGATCCCCAAACTTGATTCAAGTTCCCTGAGTACCACAGTGGGCGGGGACAGTCCTACCCCAGGTTCCTGGGTAATGAGTAAGTGTTGAAACTTATTCCTCATCCCAGTTTTCTGTTTTTTTGGCCTTCTTTTTATCTGTTGTTCAAAAGAGATGGTGAGTTGCTCTTCAGATAAGATAATGTGAATTTCTTTAGCATAGATCCTTTTGAACCAACTTTTTGAAGTAGGTAGTTGGTTCAGCGCAAAAATAGGAGGATTTTCCTTTCTCTGTGAGGGAAAGGGGGAATTTTGTGGGAAATCACTAACAATAGCCTACAGCCCCAGGAAAATCAATCCAAGAGCGAGAAAAGAGAAATGAAGAACTCCTTCAGGCCATGAGTCACCATCCTCTGCCTTCCTGGCTCACGTTTCTCTGTTCACAGCCTGTCCTTTCGTTCACCAGGACTTACGCCCGTCCTCGCTAAAGGGACTGACACATCCAGTGGTGTGTCTTTGCTGCAAATGAAAGCTCACTGTTTACTTACATTCCTCTTGATCCGGCAGATCAGAATTGGTGCCCACCCTACCCCTTCCCTCTCTCTCCAGCTTCCACCCGAGAGAGGAAAAGCCAAGCTTCCTCGTGACAGAGCTTGGGGCCACTCCGCTGTTTCTGCCTACTTTCTCTTTCCACCCTGACTTGTGTTCCCTCCCCCCTTCTGGGTCAGTGTCTGCCTGTTGATTCACATCAGAAATTGGACAGTGTGTGTGAGTGGTCACTCACTGCTCCCACCTCTGGAAGCCAAGAAGTCTTCCCTCTCTGGTGCTCCTATGCGAGCCGGTCCTGCTGAGGAGACCAACATCCCTAGGAAGAGCGTCCTTCTCGGCAGAGCTCTTTGCCGTCAACCGGAACTGAGGTTGCATGCCGATGTTTACACCAAAAAAAACAAAACAAAAAAGGAGCTGGCTGTCCTGGCCTAGGAGATCGGTCTTAAGATATGACTGTCAAAATCTGCATGATGCTTCAAAGACCCACTCTGCCTCTTGAGTGATGGATCCTTTTACTGGTGTTGACTCTGATGTCTTTAGGGAGCTGAGGTGGGTGGGCTACCAACTGGGAAAAGATCGGAGTTTGCAACCTATAAAAGCCTATAAACTGGAAACACTGGTCTGGCCTTCGCCAGCCCCCTCAGGGTTCCCTGGTTTCTCCCCAAGGAGCTGAAGCGAGAACTCCAGAAACAGGAGGAACAGACTGTCAGAAGGGCTGGTGTCTGTGTACTTCACCTGCAAAAGAGAAGCTAGATCTTCCAGGGAATGCAAAGTTGTGGCGTCTGACTATGTCACGTTTGTGTAAAATGGTATATTCTTTAAAATAGTGTTGATAACTGGAATATTATATGTATGCTTGGAGATGCTTTGTGCGGACCTATGACTGTCACTCAACAGATGTTGGATTGGGGAAAATCCAAAGCACAACTTCAAAATAAAATGCGTTTTTAGGTTTCAGTGCTGTGGTTAATATTCTCACCTCCACTTCCAGCATCTCTGGTCAAGGTCAGCAGCCTTCTGGAGGTATTTTGATTGCTCCACCTTCAGCCGAGCTCTGCGTGGCCATTAAAGGAGCTATCAGGTGATCATAGGAGCCAGCCACCTTCTCCCTCCCTTTCAAGGCATGACAAATGAGGCAATTCAACTGTGGGCTCCCTCAGTGTCTTTATTTAGCCATATGTGACCTAAGAGCCTGGGTAGAAAGTTTCCCAGCTCACCATTGGGCATTCTGCTGTCAGAAGAATTGTTTCCTTCACGGCATCCACTCCTTGCTTTCAACAAGACCATTTTGGTTTTCTCAGGGAGGTGGTAGCACTGTGGCACTGTCCTCCCGTTCATCACTTTGCTCAAGCGGGCACCAGTAACATCTCCATTGTAAGACTTGTTGTTGCTGTGTTTGGCATATCGAATGCGTCACAGGGAGCTTACCAGGCTTTGCCATGCGGGCGAGATACTCTTGGTAGCTTGCCTGGCTCTCCGAGAGGGGCGGAGGAATCAAACTCGGGTCGGTCGGGTTGGCCACGTGCAAGGCAAACTCCCTACTCACTGGACTATCGCTCCGGCCCTTAGGGCCACACCCAGCTGTCCTCAGAGTTTACTCCTGATTCTGTGCTCAGTGGTCACTCCTGGCAATCTCAGAGGACCCTATGGGAACCCATGTCAGCCACAGACAAGGCAAGCCCCTTCTCCGCTGCGCCTTCCTCCAGCCCTCATTTCTACCAAGTGGCCAGATGTTCTCACTTGGTGGAGTGAGACCTGTGGAGTTGCTTGGAATCTTTGCCATCCGAAACCACAGGTGACCGAGGTTTTATATCTTTTGCAACCTCAGCCCTGAATCCAACCTGTCTCGGGCAGGCCCCTGCCTGTGAGAGCGAAGCAAGAGAGATGCTTATGCTTGGGCGGGGACAGGGAATGCTGCCTCTGCTCCAGTTCAGAGATGCAATCTAAATTCAAGCGATCTAAAATGCAACATGTAGCAGCCTCTACGGCCCACACCTCAGCTGCTACCAGAAGGCCCTGGGTGGGCCAGACCCTCCAAAGGGAGTGCCCAGTGCTCGTGCCCGGCCGGATCAGACACACCTAACCCAGTTGGTTGTCATCTTTTGTTTCTGATTTCTTAAGTGTGCCAGTGCCCTTCCCATCTGCAGTTCCTTTCCCCTCTGGATTTAATGGGAGAGAATTGTCCTTTCTGTCTGCTGGGCTCAGATGAGTCAGATCTGAGGCTGTTCCACTACCCTGTACTGTGGAAGAGTCCTCACTCCCGAAGTGTAGGTGAGTTCTGGGATGAAGCTTGAAATTGAGTTGGGGTGTGTGGGGCAGGGCTTCAGCAGTGCTGGGCCTCACCCCGTGGTGCTTAGAGCCTACTCCTAGCAATGCCAGGAATCAAACCAGAGTCAGTCACATGCTGGAGGAGTGCTTAAGCCATGCTCTCACACTCCTCTCCCCCCCACCCCCGGCTCTGTCTCTGTGTGTCTCTGTGTGTCTCTGTCTCTCTGTGTCTCTGTCTTCCTCTGTCTCCTCTCTCTCTCTCTCTCTCTCTCTCTCTCTCTCTCTCTCTCTCTCTCTCTCTCTCTCTCTCTCTCCCCCCCCACCCCCCCGAAGCTAATTCTTAAGCTGAGAACATGTGATCAGAGAACTAAAGAAACTTTCCAGTGGTAGGCTGGGTTGGCCAGGGGCTTTCTGGTTTGGTTTGAGTTTGGGTTTTTTGTTGGTGTTGGTTTGGGCCCACTGAGAGCTTGATGAAACCAGTTACAACGAGCACAGTCAAAACAGGCCCATTCCATCTAGGTGGGAAGCAAAGGCGGGGGAATCAATGGCTGTGAATTTATGAAACCGTCTTTCTGATTACCCAGTCTAAGCACCTGCAGGTCTATGAAGCCTCCATTTACACATGAATGAACGACCCTGGCATGCCACATATTCCAAATATTCATTAGCAGTGAGCTTTTTAATTTCAGGGAGAACAGATAAACTAGCAAAATATGTGCTCTCTGAAAACAAAGATAGAGCTGGGAGTAGACCAGAAGGGCCATCGTGGGGGGTCATGAGCAAGAGCATTAATAGACTAACACAGGAGCGCAGAGATGTAAGACAGGCCCTCCTTCAAAAGCAGATCCCCAGGAAGCATACAGAAAGTGGAAAGGGGAGCACACACTAAGTAGGAATTCAACAGAGAAGGAGCCAGCATAGAGGACGGGGAGCGAAGGCCGAAAGCCGGTGGCTGGGAGAACACAGGGCCACAGACAGCCCATGTAGGAAGTATTTCAGCGGGAAAGGAGGCCGGGCAGGGTAAGCCAAGGCCAGATCGGGAGCCCCTGTAAGGCTGAGTCGAGCCAGTTAGGCAGCGAATGGGGGTGTCAGGAGTTTCCAGCAATTCATTCAAAGGGGTTTCTAGAGGGATAAAGGGGCAGGTTGGGTTTCTTTCCATTTTTATTCATTTATTTTAAAATGTGACTGTACTTTTTTTTTCTTTATGGGTCACACCCGACCATGAACAGAGGTTACTCCTGGCTACACACTCAGGAATTACTCCTGGTGGTGCTCAGGGGACCATATGAGATGCTGGGAATCAAACCAGGTCAGCCGCGTGCAAGGCAAATGCGGGGATCACTCTTTTTTCTTTTTGGCTCATACCCAGCGATGCTCAGGTGTTACTCCTGGCTCTACACTCAGGAATTACTCCTGGCAGTGCTGTTGTGCTATTACTCCAGCCCCCATGGCTGTACCTTTTTATGTCCCCAACCTCCTTGGCGGTGGTGTGGCAAGGATTGGGGGTGCTTGCTGGGGCTGCGCAGTGTGGTACGCACACACACTTGGCCACAGTGCTCAGAGAGGTGAGCGCCCCTTGTGCTTGTACACAGCTCGCCTCCGCAGAGCTCCTGCTGGGACTTGTAGTTGAGCCCAGCACTGAGGCTGTGCTGTCACCAGGGGGCACTACCTGCTCACACCTGTGTCCCCCACGAGGGAGTTGGGGGGCACTTCCCGGCCCTAGAGCTCACACATTTTTTTTTTGAACAACTGAGGTCGCAGCCGATTTCGTGGTGCTTATGCGTAACTGGTTGCAGTAAGGCCAGAAATCTCTCGCGACATCAGGGATCGCAGGCTTACCCAGCTTGAACCACAGGATGGCAAGCTTTGAACGCAGCACACGGCGTGTGCAGGGGTGAAAGTCATGCTTGAAAGGCAGGGGGCGCTCTAAGCCCACTGCAGTGTCCCTCCAAGCCTGGGCTGTCGCTCTGTAAGCCGACAGCACCCAGCGGAAGAGCAAAAGAGGGTGAACTCTTTTGGCCAAGCCCAAAGGTTGGCCAGGTTCAGAAGAGGCCATTCCTGTAGCTCATGGGAGGAAAGCAAAGTGAGCAGGGCAGCAGCAGTGAGAGAGGAGAGAGAAAACTGGGAAGGTTCCCTTTTGTTTCGAGTTTTATGTTGTTGTTTACTTACGGGGCTGGTGGGGGGGGTTGGAACACACTTGGCAGTGCTCAGGGTTTACTCCTCTGCTCTCAGAAATCACTTTTTTTTTCTTTTTGGCTCACACCCAACGATGGTCAGGGGTAACTCCAGGCTCTGCACCCAGGAATTACCCCTGGCAGTGCTGGGGGAGACCATATGGGATGCTGGAATTCGAACCTGGGTCGGCTGCGTGCAAGGCAAACGCCCTACCTGCTGTGCTATCACTCCAGCCTAGGAATCACTCTTGGCAGTGCTCAGGGGACCAGATGTGGTGCTGGGGATCAAACCCGAGTCAACCACAGGCTAGGCAGGTACTCTAACTGCTGTCCTATCTCTCAGGTCCAGGGAGATGGACGGCTAAGGATTAGCAGAGAGGGAGGAAGGGATACATCAAGCTTGGGGAGTGGAACTCACTTTCAGACCAGAAAGAGTGTGCAGGGATGTAGGGACCAGTCTTGCACTTCTGCCCAGGGTCAGAAGTGGGGGTCTGGCTGCTAAGCATGAACTTTGCTGGTGAGGGGACCAGGAGCTGTGACTGAGCAAGTGAGGGTCCCTCTCCACATTCCTCCCGCTGCTCTCTGCTCTGCTCAGGCCATGCTGGGTGGGAGGGTCATCTGCCCTGCAGGCTGACCAGCCAGCACCCATGCAGCTCATTTTGTCCTCACCCCACCCCCATGTCTGCCTGCAACACCTCCCTCTGGAAACTGGCCCTGCTCTTGTCTGCCACCCATCCCCGCCCCAAATCCACAAGATACCCAGGGACATGCAGGGCCAGCATGTAGGGACGGGGCAGGGGGAGAGGCGGTGAGGGTCTGTCTGTGGAGTCCTCGGCACACAGCACCTGCATTCAGGTAGGTACTGGACACACACTGCGGAGCCCAGGGGAGATGTGGAGCAGAGAGCAGGACCAGCAGGGAAGCCACCACAGTGAGGGGTGGACAGGTGACCAGGGGCCCTCTGAGGGAGGCAAGGCAGGCTTCTCGCCCAGACTCCAAGTCACAGATGGAAGCTTTGACTGGGCCCCCTCAGCCCATCACAGTGCCCAGGCGCGCTCGGAAAGGATGGGGCTCTGCACCCGAGGGCCAGAGGCAGCCCAGAGGTGGCTGCAGGCTGCGTGGCAGGGCCCTGAGAGTTGGGCGGCTCCTTAGGGTGGGGCCCGCAGGGGAAACCACCAGGTGTGGCCCCTGGAAAGTCCCCCCAACATTCTCTAGAAACAGGACCTTTTCTGGTTTTAACCATTTCTCGTCCAACTGCCAGTGCAGGCCTAGAGAGAGAGAGAGAGAGAGAGAGAGAGAGAGAGAGAGAGAGAGAAGGGAGGGAGGAAGAGACAGCACGCCCAGTGAGTGGAGGGGTGCGTTCTGGCAGTTTCAGGGGCATCCCCTATCCCTCTGTGACCCCCACACCTGTGCCTTCAGTGACAAGACCACCGTGTGCTAGCGTGTGCTGGCAGGGCCCGGTCCCTGTGGGCTCAGGGCGTGGGGAATGAAGTTCCAGCGCCTCCCTGAGCCTCCTGGGGCTGGCATCGCCTTCTGCACGTGGTCAGCCGACCTAACCGGACCCGCGCAGAGCTCAGTGCGTGCCTGCGACAGGTGCTCCGTCCTCCGGGCCCCGCCCCGGCCCCGCCCCGGCGGGCTGCCCCGAGGTTGACTGCGGCCCCTTTAAGGGGTGGGAGGGGAGGCCAGAAAGAAGGAGAGAAAGAGAAAGGGGAGAGACAGAGAGAAAGAGAAAGGGGAGAGTCACAGAGAGAGGGGAGAGGGAGGAAGGGGAGAGAGAGAGAAAAGGAGAAAAAGGGGTAGAGAGAGACAGAGAGAAGAGGGAAAGGGAGGAGAGACCGAAGACAGAGAGAGAGGGTGGGAAAGAGAGACAGAGACAGAGCGGGAGAACAGAGAGAGACAGAGAAGCAGAGACAGAAAAAGACAGAGAAAGAGAGACAGAGACGAAGAGACAGGGACAGAGAGGCAGAACAGAGACAGAGAGAGACAGAGAGACAGGCAGAGACAGCGACAGAGAGGCAGAACAGAGACAGGGAGAGACAGAGAGACAGAGACAGAGAGGGAGAACAGAGACAGAGAGACAGACAGAGACAGAGAGGCAGAACAGAGACAGGGAGAGGCCGAGAGAGGCGCAGAGACCGCGCGGGCCACCCGGAAGGCGCGGCGCGGGGCGGGCGGCGCTGGCCGTGGGGCCGGCGCGGGCGTGGGCGGCCCCGGCCGCTCCTCCCCGTGGGCGCTCCCGGCGGTCCCCGCCCGCCCGCCCGCCCGCCCGCCCGCCCGGGCCTCCCGTCTCCCGCGTCCTCCTTCCCCTCGCGGGCGCCGCGGGCCGGAAGCGCTGGGGCAGCGGGACCGACAAACAGGAAAGGGTTAAGGGGCGGCTGCCGCCGTGCATGGGGGCTCCGAGGCGCTGTCACCCGCGCTCTTTCCGGCGACCCGAGACCCAGTAAGTGGCCGCAGCCGGGCGGGAACGGAGGGGGGACCGCGGGGGCCGGGGTGGGCGGCGGCCGGGTGGGGGTCGGGGCCGCCCTTGCACCGCCTGCGCGTCCCCGCCCAGCCTTGCGGGAGTCTCCCACCCACCGGCTCCGAGGGGCGCCGGCCCAGCGTGCCCCTCCCCCGTGCAAGCCGGGTTCCCAGTGCAGGGCCCCTGGGTGCTGTTGCATGGCCTCGCAACACGCCGGGTCCCTGGTCAAATGCACAAGTGACCTCTGGGAACTGATCGCTCCAAGACGTGCGTTTCATCCAAGAGCAGAGGGCAGCGGGGCCCCAGAGCCCCGTCTGGTGGGCAAACCAACCGTGGAAGCTCTAAGAGCAGCAGCCCCGGCCAGCCCCGCTGGCAACAGAACGCCCGCACGGACAGGGCTGGACACTGTGGTCCCGTTCCTCAGAGGACATGCCTCTGGAGAGGAGCGCGCTGGCCGGGATCAAGAGTTGGAGGATTTGGGTCCCCCTCCCGACCCCCCCCCCCCCCCGTGGTGGTGTCGCAGGTGATCGCTGACCTTTGCACACTCACACACACACACACACACACACACACACACACACACACACAGGCCTGCAGCAGGAAGCGGTGTGCGGGGTGAGTGGGAGGGGAGGGGCTCATGTCGCAATCCTGGAGATTTCTGGTCCTGTGGGTGAGGCTGCCTGACCCCGGGCCCTTCCTCCAAGCACTGTTTCTGCTTCCTGGGACAATCCCAGGCCTGGGTGCCAAACCTCCTTAGAATTCTTTTTTTTTTTTTTCTTTTTGGGTCACACCCAGTGATGCTCAAGGGTTTCTCCTGACTCTGCACTCAGGAATTACTCCTGGCGCTGCTCTGGGGGACCATATGGGATGCTGGGAATTGAACCAGCATCGGCCACGTGCAAGGCAAACGCCTTACCCGCTGTGCTATCGCTCCAGCCCCAACCTTAGAATTCTTAGTGCCTGGGCAAAGTGAAATAAAAGGGGGAGTGGGGTTTTGCCTCTACCCAAGGCAGAGGAGGCTGGGGTGTGGGCCTGAGGGAGCAGACAGGCTCCAGGAGGGAGTTACCGAACCTTTCAGTGCCTGATGCCCCCGGGGCCCCTTCCCCCACCTCCCCAGTGACCCCAGGAAAACCTTGGAGACAACCCAGCCGCTACTCAAGACTGGACCCCGGAATCCCCTGGGCCTCCATGTGTTTTACAGGCAAAAGGTGGCCAGCAGTGGGACAGGAAATGCAGAGCACCGCCAATTACCTGTGGCACACAGGCGACCTGCTGGGCCAGGGAGCTACCGCCAGCGTGTACAAGGCCAGGAACAAGGTAAGCGCAGTCCTGCCTCGCCCACCTGCGCCTCACATGGGAGCAGCAAACTTTGAGCAAGTGTGACTGGGCAAGGCCTCTTTGGTTTGTCTACACACTCAGGGCACAGCCCTGGGCACGGTGCTGCCGACAGGAAGGCAGCTTTGAGGTCCAGAGTCAGGCGGGCTGGCTCAGACTCGGGGGCTTGCAGAGAACAGAGTCCTGCCAGCTCCTCCCTGCCAGCTCCAGCCCAAGTGGTGTAAGTCAGGGTATTCCTGCACCCCAGTTACTGTCAGCAGCAACAGTAATTACGATGACCCACCAGACGGACCCTTCGCCTCTCACCAGCAGGGAGTGGCTCCCCTTCTCATATCTGGAATTGGGGAGGGGTGGGTGGAGCTCATCACAGTGTCCCCCCAATGGCAGAAGTCCGGGGAGCTGGTTGCCGTGAAGGTGTTCAATGCCGCCAGCTACCTGCGGCCCCACGAGGTGCAGGTGAGGGAGTTTGAAGTCCTGCGGAAGCTGAACCATCAGAATATCGTCAAGCTCTTTGCTGTGGAGGAGACGGTAAGTGCGGGGTGAGGTCAGCAGGTGTGACTGGCCCTTGGAACTCGCTGGCCGGGGTATGAGGCTGCACGTGACAGACTTAGTTGTAGGGCAGCCCGCAGGTCCAGATCTTCAAAATGAAGAGGAAAGAATGTCAGGGCTAGGGCTGGAACAGGAGCACAGAGGGTAGGGCGTTGCCTTGCATGCAGTCAACCGGATTCGATTCCCAGCATCCCCTATGGTCCCCCGAACACCGCCAGGACTGAGTCCTGAGTGCATGAGCCAGGAGTAACCCCTGTGCATCACCGGGTGTGACCCAAAAGAATAATGCCAGGGCTAGAGACAGGTTGGCTTCAGGTGGTCCCATGAGCACCACTGGCTGTGCCCACCATCCCCCAAGAAAAAAGGTCAGGAAGTACCTGGGATGATGAGGGCCAGAAGAAGGCCTAATCCAAGAGGGCTTCCTGTAAAAGGGGCCTCAGGAGAGCAGGCTGAGCAGAGGACCAGGGAGGGAAGGCGGGGTCAGGAGTTGGGATCTGGAGAGGAGATGGTATGGGGCCAAGGCTGGGAAAGGCAGAAGGTGTCCCTGACCTGAGAGCATCCTCTGTCTGTCCAGGGAGCCAGCCACCAGAAGGTGCTGGTGATGGAGTACTGCTCCAGCGGCAGCCTCCTGAACGTGCTGGAGAGCCCCGAGCATGCCTTCGGGCTGCCCGAGGAGGAGTTCCTGGTGGTACTGCGCTGTGTGGGTAAGCCGCCCCCAACTCCCACTGGGGTCCCCCTTGTCTCCTCAGAGTGGCCATGAGGGCATAGTCCCAGAGCAGGAGGCCCTTCTAATGTCTAGTCTCAAGAACTTTCAGAAGCTACATGACGTCACTCCCAGTCCCTGACAGACATGGAGGAAAGGTCAGAAGCGAGGGTCTGGGTCGTGCTGACCAGTATTTTAAACTCCAGCTTTAATCAAAATCCAGGGCCAAGGGGCTGGCACGATAGCACAGCAGGTAGGGCGTTTGCCTTGCATGCGCAGCCGACCTGGGCTCGATTCCCAGCATCCCGTATGGTCCCCCGAGCACTGCCAGGAGTAATTCCTGAATGCATGAGCCAGGAGTAATCCCTGAGCATCTCCAGGTGTGACCCATAAAGAAAAAAAAATCCAGGGCTAAGGGTGCGCTTAACGGTGAGCTCTGGCTTTGTGTGTGAGGTCCTGAGTGTGATTGACGCCTCCACCACACACTCAGCAAAGTGGAACAGGTTGTATTCAGGTGTTGACAGAAGCAGTGATGGGCAAGTGGACAGGCAGGCAGTTACTTCTCAGTAGCCCTCAAAGGGAGGCATTTGTGACTCTTGAGACATCAAGGGTGGGATGAGAAGCTTCTCTACTGCACAAAGCCAGTCACTACTCATCCACCGTTAAATCTACTGCCCCAAACCCTAATGCCCAAAAGGAGAGAGAGAGAGAGTAAGAAGGAAGCAGGGGGTGGGATGGGGTGGGGGTGGCGGGAGGGGGACATTGGTGGTGGAAAATGGTGCAGGGATAGGTGTTCAATCACTGTGTGACTGAAATTCAATCATGAAAGCTTTGTAACTTATCTCATGGTGATTCAATTTTAAAAAACTAAATAAATAAAAATCCACTGCCCCACGGTTCAGAGCATCTGCCCTGAGCCGGGAGGAGTGTGGTGAGAGGCCATGGGAGAGTAGGCTTCCTGTGGGGGAGCTTGGTAGAGTTCAGAAGACGGATAAAGTGCTGTTTGCATCCGTGTTGAGGAAGTGTCTGATGAGCGAATACAGGGCAAAAGTGCTTGCCTGGCATGTTGCTTGTCCCAGTTGATCTCTGGCGCTGCATTTGTTACCCAAATGCCACCAGAGCCAAGAATAGCCCCTGAGAACCAGGAAGTGTGGCCTCAAACCCGCCCGCTCCCCCACTCCTCCAAAAAATATGGTCAGTTTTTTCTTTCAATGATAGACTATTATCATCATTAAGGGGATGGGGGAGAGGAAGACTGGGGCTGGAGCCATAGTACAGCGGGTAAGGCACCTGCTGACTGGGTTCAATCCCTAGTACCCTAGATGGTCCCTGAGCACTTCCAGGAGTGACTCCTGAGCGCAGAGCAAGGAGGAAACTCCCAAAACAAAGCAAAACAAATCCTAAAGAGGTAGTACGGGGGCTGGAGCAATAGCTCAGCGGGTAGGATGTTTGCCTTGTACGCGGCTGACCCAGGTTTGATTCCCAACATCCCATATGGTCCCTTGAGCACCGCCAGGAGTAATTCCTGAGTGCAAAGCCAAGAAGTAACCCCTGTGCATTGCCGGGTGTGACCCAAAAAGCAAAAAAAAATAAAAAGAGGTGGTACAGAGCCCGGCAAGCTACTGAGAGTATCTCACCCGCACGGCAAAGCCTGGCAAGCTACCCATGACGTATTCAATATGCCAAACACAGTAACAACAAATTTCACAATGGTCACATTACTGGGCCTGCTCGAGCAAATCGATGAACAGCAGGAGGACAGGGCAACAGTGCTACAGAGATAAGGCCCTTGCATTGCCTGCAGCTGACCCACCACCACTACCCCCAAGGTGGTCTCCTGAGCACCAAGCCACACCCCTTAGCACTTTGGGCTGCTCAAAACATGAAGCTAAAATAAAGTAATACTACTAATAGAAACAAACAAATTGGGAGCACCTTCAGGGAGACAGCACACAGCCTCTCAGCTTCTTAGGGAGGCCTGAGGGGGCCCGAGCCCCCGAGTCCCGGCACCTCTTCCCATGTCCTGTGTCCATGGCTGCCACTCTTTCCCGTGGCCCTCTCAGCCCCGGGAACTTCCCCCGGGTGCCAGGAGAGCCCTCCCCAGGATGAGCCGCAGCCCCTGGGCCGTCCCCCCACGCAGTGGCCGGCATGAACCACCTGAGGGAGAACGGAGTCGTGCACCGGGACATCAAGCCTGGAAACATCATGCGCCTCGTCGGAGACCAGGGCCAGAGCATCTACAAGCTGACGGACTTCGGGGCCGCCCGGGAGCTGGAGGACGACGAGAAGTTTGTCTCCATCTACGGGACTGAGGAGTATCTGGTGAGCAGGGCACTGAGGGCCTGCCCAGCCCTGTTGCCAGGGCCCCTCTGTGGCTCCTGTGTGTGACCTCCAGTCAGGGGCGGGGCGGGGGGGGCGCCCTGGGCCGGGCCTGCTCCATGCCTGCTCTCTGCCCCTCTCTCCTCAGCACCCTGACATTTACGAGCGGGCAGTGCTTCGCAAGCCCCAGCAGAAGGCCTTTGGGGTCTCTGTGGACCTCTGGAGCATCGGCGTGACCCTGTACCATGCAGCCACAGGCAACCTCCCCTTCATCCCCTTTGGGGGACCGCGACGCAACAAGGAGATCATGTACGGTGGGCCACGGGGCAGGGAATGGGCCATGACTGTCCAGCCTCAGCCCCTGTTCCCACCCTCATCCCTGACCTGGGGTCTCTGTTTTGCTTCCTGCTCTCTCCCTCGCTCCCCCCACATCTCAGCTCTGTCGCAGAACCCGGCCTGTGCTAGTCCCAGGGGTGAGGTCCTTTCCAGCCTTCTGGAGAGCGAGCATTGTTCCCACGAGGGCACTCCCCTGGAGCCAAGCCACCAGGGTGAAGGGGCAGGATGGCGGTACACCCCAAATCAGGGCTCCCCTCTTCCCCTCACCCGCCCCCTTCCCCCTCGCCCTCCCCCCTCCGCTGCATGGAACAGTATCTGGGCTTTCCCCACTGTCGCATAGGAAAACACACATCTTGGGTATGACTCGGTAGGTCATTTTGGGAAATGGTTTCCATGTTCCCAGGCTCCAAAAATAACTTCAAAATCATACCAGGTAGCAACATGCGGAAAGAAGAAGGGCACAGAGAATGGGGAAGGCTATGTGAGGGGTGAGGAGGTGCACAGGCCCAAATGGGGACCCCCAGGGCGAGCAGGTGGCCTTGGCTGAGGACCAGGACCCCCACACACACACTCTCCCTGGGAGAGGCTGGCTGCCTGGAACTGAGCCCTCCCCGCTGAGCCTGCCACCCCTGGAGACCTGATGACGGAGACCCGCTGACTCAGCTCCACCCTCCACACACACAGGTACCGCATCACCACCGAGAAGCCGGCCGGAGCCATTGCAGGCATGCAGAGACGGGAGAACGGGCCCCTGGAGTGGAGCTACAGCCTCCCGGGCACCTGCCAGCTGTCCATGTGAGCAGGCTGCGGGGGCAGAGCCCACTGTGCCAGGTGGCAGCCTTGGGGCATCCCGTTCCTTCGGGTGGGAGGCAGCCCCGTCTCCTGCTGGCCAGCCTCAGGCCCCTGCCTGCATCCCAGCACCTCCGGTTTCATGTAGGCCCTCCCGGGGGAAGCCCCCATGACCTCCTCAGGATGGGACACCCAGAGGCCTCTCCCTGATGGTCTCCGTGTCCTGGTGGGCAGGGGGCTGCAGAATCAGCTGGTGCCCATCTTGGCCAACATCCTGGAGGTGGAGCAGACCAAGTGCTGGGGCTTCGACCAGTTCTTTGCGGAGACCAGTGACATCCTGCAGCGCGTCGTTGTCCACGTCTTCTCCCTGTCCCAGGCCCTCCTGCACCATGTCTTCGTCCACGCACACAACACGTGGGTGCCCCGAGCGGCTGAGCCTCGTCCCACAGAGCACTTGGTGGGGGAGCTTAGAAACAGGGCCCTCCGAGTCTCTCCCCTGCATGGAAAAACACGCTTTCCACCCAAATTGGGGTGAAATGCAATTTTGTATTTAACACCTGCCAGACTGTAGAGATTCCGAGTATCACATAAGCTCTAAGTCTCTGGGGAGCAGGGGCGTGGGAGGGAGGGATGCTCGGTGAATCTGAATGGGAGTGTGGTGGGAAGAGGCGTGGATTCTGCCCCTCCTCTGCCTCCATCCACTTTTGACAGACAAAAAAGCACCAAGTCCTCCCTTGGAAGACCCAGGCTTTCTCTGGGGTGAGCACCTCTCTGCTCACCACTTTCTCTCTGCTCCGCCAGGATTGCCATCTTCCAGGAGGCTGTGTGTGAGCAGACTGGCGTGGCACCCCAGGACCAGGAGTACCTCTTTGAGGGTCACCTGTGTGTCCTTGAGCCCAGCCTCTCGGCCCAGCACATTGCACACACGACAGCAAGCAACCCCTTGACCCTGTTCAGCAATGCCAGCGAGAACCCCACGGGACTTACCTTCAGGGATCGTGAGTAGCCCAGAGGCTGCCTCCCTCTCCTCTACGCACTGTCTCAAGGTCCAGGGCGGCATCCAGTTTCCTTTGGGCCCCTGAGGTACATTTGGCAGATCTGGGCTGTAATTCTGCAGGTGCTGCTGAAATGCCATTGGACCACTCTGGACCTCACAGCATCTCCAGAGTGATGGAATAGGGAGATCTAGATGCGGCGGGATAAGGCTGCGCTTGCCTTAACCCCTCTATCATTACTCTGGGTCTAGTATATCTCTACCAACTGTGGAAAGGAGTAGGGTCGGGACTTTAGTCCTTTTGTCCTCCAAGTTTTAGCAAAAATGTCACTTCATCTCATTTGAATGGTGCCGACTTTTTCCTGGAGAGCTCCTTCTCTAGGTCTCCAAGGCCGGGAAGGAGAATTAACCCTGATACCCTAAATGTGGAGATGGTTTTAACCCTTTTGCGGCATTAAAATAAGAGAGGCCTTCCCGTTTGTAGTTCTCCAAAGTAGACACAAGGGGGCAGTGAGAGACCACGTTCGTAAAGAAGCAAATTACAGCGTTGGAATGTGGGGCTCCGGACTCTTAGGGAGGTTGAAGGGAGATTGGTCCTGATGGTGCGTGAGCTAGAAACGCACTCAGCGTTCACCTAGGACTCAGACTGGGTCTTTACCTGCAGCTGCCCTGGATGTCCCCAGGTTTGTCCCCAAAGTGGACGTGCAGTCAGATTACAGTACAGCCAAGGTGAGGTGCGGACCTCAGGGGTGGGGGCAGGACTGAGCAGGGCCCGTGTTTGAACCTGACCCGCCTTCCCCTGTGTCCCAGAGTGCACTGGGTGCTGGCCACCAGGCCCTCCGGCTGGCACGGACCCTGCTGGCTGGGCAGGAGCTAATGCTTCGAGGGCTGTACTGGTTCGTGTGAGTCCCCCCTGAAACCCAGGGGAAGGTGGGCAGGTGGGGCAGGGGGTACAGCCCAGACCTCCTCTGTTCATGGTGGGGGCCAGGGGAGCAGGTCCTGACCCTTGTCCCGTTGCGCAGGGAGATGCTGCAGGCCACAGGCCGGAAAACCCTAGACGTCACGCAAACAGCCCTCCTCTTCCTCAGCAGCAGCCTGGGCACTGAGAGGTGAGTGTCCAGCTAGGGCGGGGACACAGCCAGTATGGCTGACCAGTCCAGATGGTCTGAATACGCGTCTCCCTTGCACAGAGAAGCCCTGCTCCAGACTAGAATGGGTCAGCCTGCCCCCCACCATCCCTCACCTGAAGAAGGCCCCCAACCCCCAGCAGCACCCCTCCAGGGCATCTCTCCAATCAGCGTGCCCAGAGCTCGTGCTCCACTGGTTCAGTCTCCAGGTTCCTTGGCCTCTGGGCTCAGACGGTCCCCACTGGCTTCGGGTCCTGTGGAACTCCATGCCTCCCCTCTTGACTGTTTGGGGGGGTGGGTGTTAGATGGGAGAAGGGTAGGAGAATAGCCGGAGCAGAACCCTGCTGACACGCAGTTCCAGTATGGCCTAGGTGGTGAAGATGAAGACATACCTCCCCCCCACCCCCGGCCAGGGTCCTCCCCATTGCTTCCTCAAGCCACTCTCTTTCCCTGCCTGACCTCTCTCCTGGGGGGCGCCCCCAGTGCCCTTGCCCTTCTTTCCTGCACACCTCCAGGCCTTGCCTCGCATCCCAGTCACCTGCCACTGTGCCACGGTGGAACTGGACTTGTAGTGAGCGAAACGGCATCCTACTCAGGGCCAGGAAGGAGCTTATCTCCTCACAAGGGAGACGGGAGCTTGAGTGAGCGTGGACAGGAGCTGCAAGGCTGGCAGCTGTGCAGGTGGCGAGCCCAGGCCCTCTGCCTGCCCGGGCTGCACCCCATCCCCTCTGCCCCCCCAGGACCCCTGCCTTGGTCACTCCTCCATCCAGACCCCGGAGGCAGAAGGGGAGCCAAGCTCCTGCTTCATTCCTGGACACTCCACCTCTGCTCCCCGCCCCTATTCCAGAGCCCAGACACATAGGACTTTTTATTCCTAATTATGAGTGTTCATTCAAGAAGTGAGGCTAGTTGTCGAAAGTTGGGAAAAGCAGATGGGCAAACATGAGCTTAAAGTAGCCTGTCATCCGTGTCATCCGCCCAGGAGGGGTTGTCCAAGTGCCGTGGCAGCGTTTATCCTTCGCGAGGTTCTGTGTGAGTGAGTGTCAGCTGCCCCTCGGGAGAGCTGCCTGTGCTGGCCTCCAGTCACACTTTTTTTTTTCCCAGCTGGTTTTCTCCAAACTGGGACCCAGTCAAAAAGCAATGCCGATCCCCTTAATGTCCTGACCTAAGCAGGTTGCCCTGCCTTTAGAGTTGCCCTGGTTCAGAGGGACACCCCCATAATCCCACCTTCCAGATTCTTCTAGAATTTTAAAGATTCTTCCAGAATTCTCTGGGTGGCATCTGGCTAGTACTTGCCCTGTGTTTCCTATATACAGAGTTCTATGCTCAGTGGAGTGAGGTCCAATATTCAGGGATAGAAACCTTATAAGGAATGCAGGAACACTTCTAGCCCAGCTGGTTCTGGGAGTGGCCATTGTCTCTCTTGAGCAGATTCTTCTCCCTGTGAGTCTGTGGGTGTTGTCTTGGCTGCGCAGTCATTCGGTGTTGATTTAACACTGCCCAAGTTGATCCTTCCGCTGGGGCCAGCACGATGCTCACTAGGGGTTCAAGTCCTGGCAGCTACTCGCCAATGAAACATATCCTTCCCTGAGCAATAAGCTAGCTATCGTGAGATAGTTTCCCGGGAAAGGGCAAGGAGAGTTTCACTCTTTTCCGTTGGTCACACATTTTCCAAGTAAAATCCACAGCTGATTGTTTCGTGTAGCTGAGCTCTGTTCTCGGGTCAAGCTGTTTCAGGCCCCTCACTCAGCCTTTGTTCCTTGCAATGCCCGGGGAGAAGGGCGCTCCTCAAGCGGGTGCCCCATTTCCAACCGAAGACTCCCTCAGAGACCTCAAAACCAACCCCCAGTGAAGTTAACCCAGGATGCCACCGCCAGCATGCATAGGGAGCGCCTCTGCCCTCTAGCCCCCCCTGGAAGGTTTCCCTGTCTCTTCCCGAGGTTCAGCAGTGCGGCTGGGGTGCCCGAGCTGCCGGAAGTGAAGAAGGCTGCAGAGCTTCGTTCCAGACTACAGACGGTGAGAGGTGGGGCCGCCGGGGCGGAGCTGGGAACCGCCCCCCAGAGCCCTGCTCAGGAGCCCCCCGCCCTCCCCCCACCTGCATTTTGACCTTGCAGCTGGCGGAGGTCCTCTCCAGGTGTTCCCACAGTGTCAGAGAGACCCAGAGGAGCCTCAGTGCCCTCAGCGCCCAGCTGGTGGAGAGCCGGGACCAGGTACATGCGGACAAAAGGTCTGTGGGCGTTTCTTCTGGGGGGCGGAGGGGGGAGAAAGGTAGACACCTCAAAGGGTCCAGCTTTGGTCCCTCTGTCGTTAACTTAGCACAGGCTGGGGGGCACCCTGGGTGGGATCAGGAACCAGCCAGACCTCCCCTGAGACTGGTCAGAAGGAAAAGGACCTGGGATCCCGCCCCACTGGGGATTCAGAGAGGGAATTAGGAGTCTGAACATGTGCAGTTGTCGCAGAGAACAGTTCTCTTCCCTTTCTGAACCCTCTGGGCCTGGCTCGGGTCTCTCTCGAAATGTTTACTTACATCCTCTCGCTCCATATGGTGCTGACTCCCTGAGCCCCCTTTATAAATGATCACACTTTCCCGAGAACCACCCCCAGCCCACCCCCAAGCCACAGCCACCTGGGCTTCAGGTCAGGGCTGCCCACCTGAGCCCGTGGCGTGCAGAGGGGTTGACAGGTCCACCTGCTCACTCTGAGCAAGCCACGAGGTACAGGGGAACGCGGGGCCACAGCTTGAAACTCAGAACCCCGAGACCCATCACAGGCTTTGTTCTGGACTCTTAGTGCACCAAGGCCGGCTTCGGCTGACTAAGACATCCTGAGTCCAGTCATGCTGGACCCAGAGTTGAGGCTCTGAGTCTCTGGAGTCTGAGTGTGGGAGGGGCGCATGCCACACCCGGTAGGAATGTTCCAGATATAGCGTCTTTGTACAGTTAGCTTTCGGAAATCAAGGGCGATGCTTCGTTTCAGCACTTTGCAGCCCAGGCCTGTGGATAGACTGAAGTGAGGTTCTCTGATGGAGCATGGCAGGCTCCTGATAAGTTTGTGCTCTGCCCAGAAATTCTCAAAGTGGCTGTAACCACAAAACGGTGCCCGGAAACTCAGGCTGGGCAGGGCAGGAGAAGCCCTGCCTCCTGGAGGGAGTAGAAACCTGATTCCTTTGGGTCTGCTGCACATTTCTTTGGCACATTATTTCAGCCCTTGCTAAGTACCAGGAAAGCACTGCCCACTGCTTCTGTCCTGGCCCAGTAGGCTGAGAGTGGCCTCTGTCCACTCACAGCAGCCCTCACTGTGTCTGTCACTTGCAGCACAGACCAGGGTCCCTCCCAGAGTGGGCTCTGAAGCCTTCTTGGTGGCACACAGCGTCTATCCTGTGGCTTACATAGCATGTTAGGCATGGGCATGGGTGTAAGAGAGAAGGAAGAACCTGAGAAGGAATGATGAATGGCTCAGGTTGAGAGATCAGAGTCTCCGCCCACTCCCAGATTGGTCCTTCAGACAGTGATCAGCTCCTGCAAGTCCTCCCCCATTACCCAGCTCCCCTCCCCCGCCCCCGTGTGGTTCTCCCTTCACTGGGCCTGTCTCCTGCTGCCAGCATCCAGCAGATTCAGTGCTGTGTGGACAAGATGTTCGTCATCTACAAACAGTTCAAGAAATCCAGACAGAGACCAGGTGAGCTGGGGAGAGCAGAACAGTCCTCCCCGCCTTCCTGACACCCACTGGCCCGAAATGCTCCGTGTGGTGGGGCCTTCAGAGCCCCCTGTGTGCGGGAGCTCCAAGGCCCGCTCCCTGAGCTGTGGCCTCTTCTTTGGAAGAAGATGCGTCCGCAGGCTGCAGGGTACTTGACGGGACTGGACAGTCTCCTGGACCCAGGTTTTCGGGAAAGATGGGGTGGTCTGGAGTATCCTGAGTCAAATCCTGGTCCCCATAGTGCCTTCTCAGCACCAGACGGCAGCTGCTCTGGCAGCTGACTGTGGCCTTTGCCATCCTGGAGCCAGCTAGAGACTCTGGGATGAGGCTGCCAGGTACCGGCTGCTTTGGGTTTAGCAAACACTCCAGACACCCAGAGCCAGGGCGCAGTGCCCCCTGCTGGGCAGCCTGCAGCAACCTCATTGCCAAGTTCCCTGAGTCCCTTTAGAAATACAATGACAGTCGCAGGAGAAATTTTCCATTTTCTAATAGCAGAATTTAAAAAGAAACGCATAAGATTGTATAATAATAGATTATCTTCAGCGCAGCACATCCAAATGATCACTTCACATTTTTAGTATAAACAAGATTATCATTTTAATTTCACTTATTTATGAATTTATGGCGGCTAGAGCGATAGCACAGCGGTAGGGCATTTGCCTTGCACGCAGCCAACATGGCCGACCCGAGTTCGATTCTTCCGCCCCTCTCGGAGAGCCCAGCAAGCTACCGAGAGTATCTCGCCCGCACGGCAGAGCCTGGCAAGCTCCCCATGACGTATTCGATATGCCAGACACAGTAACAACAAAGTCTCCAATGGAGACGTTACTGGGCCCGCTCGAGCAAATCAATGATCAATGGGAGGGCCTTTACTTTACTTTACTTACTTTATGAATTTATGTGGGGAGTCTGCGTTACCTCTCCACCTGCCTGCTCACTGCTGGGGGTGCCCGGGATGGAGCCCAGGACTACCACGTGCAAATCTGGACTCGGCTTACAGTGCATCTCACCACCTGACCTGAGTGCTCTTACCACCCTCTCTAGGAGCTGCAAAGGAACGTTTATTCCTGCTGATCTTGCAGAAACCCCCTTTAAAAAAAAAAAGCTTTAAAATAAATAACCCTTGCATGCCAACACTTGGTGTTGAAAGAAGCTATTTGGGGCAATGCTCGGGACGTTTGAGGGCTCCTTCCCTGTCCCGCCTGGCACATGTCAGGAGGGGAGCTCTTCCTTTCCTCGTGTTCCTAGAGGAGACAGGCCTGCACTCGGCACAGTGGCTCAGCGGGCTGAGTGCAGGCCCCAGAGGCCTTGGGCCGATGGAATAGCGCCTGACCCGGAAGGGGCAGCCTCTGGAGTCTCCTGAGTTGAGGAGGGCAGCAGGGCTGGGGCAGGTCCCTGGCTGTGTCCAAAGGGCTGTTGGGGAGTGAGAAGCCAGGCTGATCAAATGCCCTGAGGCCCATCTCCCATTCGCTTCCCCCAGATCCCCACCTATCTGCCTCCCTGGAGCCCGCTGGTGCTTCTGCTGAGTCTGCAGGCCCCTTGAGGCTGGAGCAATAGCACAGCGAGTAGGGCGTTTGCCTTGCACACAGCCGACCTGGGTTCGATTCCCAGCATCCCATATGGTCTCCTGAGCACTGCCAGGAGTAATTCCTGAGTGCAGAGCCAGGAGTAACCCCTGTGCATTGCCTGGTGTGACCCCCCCCCAAAAAAAAGGTCTGCAGGCCCCTACCTCACCCTAATGCAATAGCCTGGGTGTCAGGTGCACTCTTGGTGCCCCGGCCTGTGAGGTGCTGTGGGACAGGCTCCGGGCTGGCGGTCCTCAACTTTGTAACTGCCCCTCCCCCCAGCCTTTGTGGCTGTTTGTTTTCTTGACAAAGTCCAGCTGACATGGTTCTTCTCTGTTCCCTCCAGGGCTTGCCTACAATGAAGAACAGATTCACAAGCTGGATAAGTGAGTGGCCCGTCCCCCGGCAGGCGGGTGAGCAGGACAGGGCCACCAGGGCAGAGAAGCTGTCTGGGCCAGACCAGAACCGGAAGTGCTGGCAGCCCTGACCTCAGGCCCCAACTTGACCCTGGCAGGAGAGAGGGTGGCTGGGTCTAGGGCAGTCTCTGCGGCCCGGATGGAGATGGAATAACTGGATACAGTACCCTAAACTTGCTTCAAGCTCAAGCAAGATGTTTTTAAGATTTCCTTCCCTAATTGTCCTCAGCGGTTTCCCGCCTCCTGCTTCCCATCCGCCTGGATGTTCCCTCCCACCACGCCTGTCTCCTAGGCACTTGCCTCCCAGGAGCCTCTCGGGATGTGATTCTTCCGCCCATCCCTTCTCCCAGTCTCCTGCTTCCCTCCTCTGTCTCTCTCTCCCTATCCTCTTGGGGACTTAGATTGCTGGTCTGTGCACCCCAAAGGAGGGCTTGGTCCTCCCTTCTCTCCCCTTTGGTGTGTGCCACTTACCATCACATTGAGCCCCACGGCTCAAATTTATGACACCGTCCCTTCCTGTTTGGGGCCCAGGGACAGAGCATGCGTGGTGAGATGGTGGAGACCCCAGGGTTGCATGGTTCGTTCTGAAGCAACTCTGCTGCTGATCTCTGTGCCTGGCCGTCCCTCTCTTTTCAGAGTGAATTTTAGTCACTTAGCCAAAAGGCTCCTGCAGGCGTTCCAGGAAGAGTGTGCTCAGAAGTATCACGCGTCTCTGGTCACGTATGGCAAGTGGCTGAGGTAATGACCTGCCCCCCACCCTCCCGGAGCACATGGACCCCGGGTTGGGCTCTTCTCACCCCAGCCCTGTGCTCTGCACATAAGCTACACACAGTCCCCCGGGAGAGCAGACAGCAGAGGAACCAGGCAAAAAACTAGGCAGTCTTCAGGGGGATCATGTACCCCCCCACACCTTCTGTCTCACAGTCTCCCCTGAGCACTAGACACTCTCACTGCGTTTCACAGATAAGGAAACTGAGGTTTGGAGAACAAGCTTCTACCATGCTGTCATACAGTGGTAAATAGTGGATCTGGGACAAAATATGGGGTGTCCACCCTCTAGGGTGAGGACGCACTGGTTGGTGGGCTTCTGTGTGGCTCCACTTGCTCTCCCAGGAGTTTGATTTCTCCCTTAGGCCAGCCCCTCATGCCTGCTTGTGTCCCCTCAGGGAGGAGAGGGCAGTGAGCGGCTGGTGCTGAGACCCACAGACCTTCACAGTCATGTTTACCAGCAGCTTGAGACTCGGGCACTCACCCTCTCCCATATTAGACTCCAGTTCTGATTCACCTGGGTTTGGGATACTGGTGGGATTTTTTTTCCCCTTGCGGTTAGGGCATTTGCCTTGCACGCGGCTGACCCGGGTTTGATTCCTCTGTCCCTCTCGGAGAGACCAGCAAGCTACCGAGAGTATCCCACCCGCACAACCGAGCCTGGCAAGCTCCCCGTGGCATATTCGATATGCCAAAAATAGTAACCACAAGTCTCACAATGGAGACGTTACTGGTGCCCACTCGAGCAAATCGATGAACAACGGGAGGACAGTGCTACAGTGCGACAGATGTTGCATTAGGATGTCTCTGTTCCCGTCTCATATTGTATGTTTCAGGTGCATATATGCATGTGTGTTGTGCAAGTGTGTGTAGACCATGCTGATGCACCAGAAGTCCAGTCCTCTCCTTCTTCAGCGACCCCTTACCTAGTTGGTTGACCCAGGCCCCTTCCCTTATCGTGGCCACTAATTTCTCCAGCACTCTAGAAGTTTATTTTGTTTTCATGTAGCTAGTTTCTTGGCTCTGGAGTTCGCCCAACTGCAGATGTATGCCAGCCTGTGGGGTTGTCCTCTGGACTGATCTTACCACACAGGGGCCATAGAGTTGCAGATGCCAGAGTCTCACCTTCTTCTTCCGAGTCTTTTAGCTGCTTCTTAGGCTGTTTCCCACTCTTGTCTACCATGACTAGTGCTGTGAAAATCGTGTGAAGGGTGGGGAGGGTGTTGGGGGACAGCTGGAGACCAGGGGATCAGCCACTTAACAGGGGCCATGGTTAGGGCCAGCCGAGAATCACTGTTCGCTCTCCTGTGTAGCCAGGGCTGGGCAAATTGCTCTGGAATTTGGTTCCTTCCTTTGTGCAGTGGGAGCATCCATGCTCACTCCCTGTGCAAGGGAGAGAGAGAGAGAGAGAGAGAGAGAGAGAGAGAGAGAGAGAGAGAATCCTAAGAATCTTGACCTTGGGCTAGAGAGAAAGCACAGCGGGTAGGGTATTTGCCTTGCACGCAGCCGACCTGGGTTCGATCCCTGGCATCCCATATGGTTCCCCGAGCACCACCAGGAGTAATTCCTGAGTGCAGAGCCAGAAGTAACCCCTGAGCATCGCTGGGGGTGACCCAAAAAAAGCAAAAAAAAAAAAAAAGATAGAACCTTAACCTCAGTTTTCCCTGGAAATGGGAACAAGGGCAGGTCCTTGCGGAGACCCTGCTCTGGACTTGCTCGACCCCCTGGAGCCTGGTGTGGCCCCGGGCTCCAGCCCCAGCTCCCACTGTGATGCTCAGCTGTGAGAAGCACCCGAGAGCACGGGCACAGTGGGCAGGGCCGGCTCTGCTGCCGCCAGCTCCTGCCATCACACCTCGGAGTTCCCTTCTCTGGGACCATGTGGCGGGCGTGGACACCTGGCTGACTTTCCTCTGCTCCCTAGGGAAGTGCATGAGACCAGGACCCACCTGCGCCTCATTGGCTGCTCCGTGGCGGCCTGTAACACAGAAGCTCAGGGAGCGCAGGAGAGCCTCAGCAAGGTCTGGATCTTCAGGGGCCCCAAGCACCGGGTGTGCAGGCTGCGCCCTGTCCAGGGAGAGCGTCTCTAGACTGAGTCCCACCCACCCGGTGGGTGGAGTGTCTCTGGGCCCTCAGAGACAGGGGTGGGGGGAGGGGGGAATGGAATGAGGAGCAGAGACACTTGCCGGCCACCTCAGTCCCCAGACCTGCACTCTGCCAGGCTCATGGGGCACATGGCGCTGTCCTCTCTGAAGAAAGCCCAGGCAGTTCTGGGAGGCCGCCCTCGTGGCCACAGGGAAGTGTTGTTCCCCAACCTAGCCCAGAGCTGGGTGCCCACTGCCCCTGCCCTGCACCGCTCAGTCCAGGCCCGTCTGTACGGTGGAAGAACTCGGCCCACAGGCTGTTGGCCCATGCCAAATGCAGATGCCTGCAGGGGGTTGTGCCAGTGCCCTTGAGAGCCTGGGGGATAGGCCTGCAGAAGACAGGCTATCACCCGGCATTAGCACCCCCGCCCTCCCACATGAGCGGGGTCATGCCCCCTGACCAAAGCGTGGCTTCCTTTCAGATCCTCGACCTGCTGTCTCACCAGCTCCTTCAGGATCAGACCAGGAGTGCGCAGGCCTCGCCTCCCCTCACTGCTGCTTCTCCCAGCCCTAAGTCTGAGGGTCTCATCTTCCAGTGAGTGCAGAGTGAGGCTGGATAGGGGGCCCCAGGTGGGGGTGGGCGCTGAGGTTAAGGCCTTAGCGGGGGAAGAACTGTGGCGGACCCTTGGGGGAGGCAGGGGTATGGCAAGGGAGGCAGGGGTGTGAAGGGGGAGGCAGGGGTGTGTGAGGGGAGGCAGAGGTGTGGAGGGAGAGGCAGGGGTGTGGAGGTAGAGGCAGGGGTGTGCAGAGCACCCCGGCCTGCTGTAGAGTCACGTCTGCCCGTGTTGACAGCATGCAGGAGCTCTGCGAGAGTATGAAGCTGCTGGCCTTCGACCTCCAGGACAACAACCGCATCATCGAAAGGTGAGATGCGCCGGGACCCTTCCAGCCCCGCATGGGTGCGGCAGAGCCTTGAGCGGGGGCACGGGAGTCCCTCTGTTGCGTGGGCCTTCATCGCAGGCCCTTGAGAGGTGCATGGTCAGCAGCTGCTGGAGAGGGGCTGGGTGATTCCACGGGAGAAAACTGGAGATTCACAGGAGGGGGCTCCACTGAGGCAGCAGACCACAGGCCAGTCAGCACGGCTGGGAGAGGGTGGCACTGCCCCAGCGCCGGACACAGCCTTCACCCCCTGTCTGTCACGTCCCAGATGGGAGCCAGAGGGGTTGGGAGCAGATGGACAGAGCTCAGCCCAACCCCACTCTGGCCCTGCCGGGTCCCTGCTGTCCTTCTCTGTGAACTCCTGCCCATCCCCTTTGCCCCCTGGCGTGAGGCCTGAGTGGGCAGGCGGTAGGGGCCTGCATTGGCCCCCGATTTGAGGGGTCCGTGAGCTCAGGAGGTTTCTCTGCCACCCTCTTCCTGCCCGGGAGAATCCAGCCTCTAGAAACCTACTGAGGAAACTCCAGGCTCCCCGCAACGATTTTCCCAAATAGCCCTCAAGGACAGGAAGTCCTAATTTTAGTGCTGACATCAATTTTCCTTCTGTGATTTGTGGTCTATTTACAGATCGCTCAGATTTATTTTAGTGAATGTGTGCTTCCTCAGAGCTGCAACCAAAAAGTCAAAACAGCCTGCTTTAAATTCCTTTCCTGCCTGTCCCCGGCTGCTCACACCATTTACCCAGGCCCTTCATGGGTGCAGACCCTGGGGCGGCCCTCAGAGGCCGTGGGTGCCTCAGGGGGCACCTCTGGAAGTCCCCCAAGGGGTTCTAATGTGTAGTCAGAGTCTGGAGTGCGGGACGGGGGTCAGAGCTGCCACTGTGAGCGACCCTGGCTCCTGTGAGTTGCTGCTGTCGGGGGCAGCTGTGCCCACGGGCTGTGGGTGAGGGGCGCTAACTGCCTCCTTGCTTGCAGGTTAAGCAGGACCCCGTCAGCGCCCGGCATCTGAGCTCCAGGGGAGCAGAGGCACACAGCAGCCCTGAGCACTGCTCTGCTCTTCAGCCCTCGAGGTGGGGCCAGCACCGGAAGCTCTCTGGTCCCTTCGCACCAGCTACTACCTCCCTCAGGCCTGAGAGATGGCCCCAGCCTTCCAGACCTTTCCATGGACCGTTGTACAGCGGATGCTGGGCTGCCTGGCAGAAACTTTGTTGGGAGCCTGTCACCTGGCACGACTGAACGGCTGGTCCGAGGATGAGGCTCTGCCAGGCCCTCAACTACCCCTCTGCTTCTCACGGGACAGAAGGAGGTCCCTTGAGGAGACCCCCCCCCCCCAGGCGTTTCCCCGGGTGCAGAGTACTTGTCTTTCTCTCCTACGGGGTTTCCTTCCCTAGGACCCAGGAGTAGGAGAATTCCCAGCCGGCGACTCTGAGGTGTCTCGCAGCCCAGGAAAGTCCAGAGCCCGGGTTCCCTCTGTCCCGAGTCTGGCCATGACTAAGAGGGGGAGGCTGGGGGTGCCAGTGCCTGGGACCCCTTTCCTCCTCCCTCCCGGTGCCCCAGTTCTGGATCTGCAGCCGGTCTAGTTCCTGGTAACCATGGCCTTTTGCAAGGGGTGACAGCCCTGAGCAGCCTAGGACTGAGTCCTCAAGTGGAATAAACATGGCCTTCCTGCGACCTGCCTCCCCCTCTCTTCCTCTCTTCCTCTCTGCCCCCTCCATCCCCCCTCCCTCTCTCCCCACTTTTTCCCCTTCCTCCCTACAGGTGGGAGGCAGGGATCTGGGTGTACTGGGTCTCTGGCAGACTTGGGCACAGACAGACTGGGAAACGGAGTTGGGAAGTTCCAGGGGACAGCCTGAAGGCACTTCTGGAGTGCCCCTTCTCTTTTTCCAGCCTGTCAGAAGGGGTGAAACTTGGGAAGGAAGATGTCTTCTTTGGGGGGACAGAAGGTTCTCCCAAATAGTGCTCAGGGTGCTTGGGGGCCACTTCTGGGTTGGCAGCTCACTGCAAGCCTGAGGAAGTAGCGCTCTTGGTCTGCAGGGAGGCACTGAGGATGCAGGCATCCTGGCAGTGTTTGGGGAACCCTGTGGCGTCAGGCGTGTGTCTTAACCCCTGCACGGCCACTCTGCCCCGGTTTATTTCCTTTAAACCCCACACTGACCACCTGAGGCTGTTCTTCTTCCCTCCGTGCCCTGCTGGAAGCTAGTGTTTCCTGAGTGCTGGCCAGGAGCACTGAAGGGGCGGCTGTGAGTACTCCCAGGGTTCACCCAGAAGCTGGCCTGGTGCCTGGGGGTCAGGCCCTCAGGTGTGTGCCAGCTGATTGCGAATCTCATCTTTCTGCTGTAGCACTTCAGTTGCCTGTGCTCTTGTCCAGCCCAGCAGAGGGTCCAGGAGTGAGGAGCCCAAATTTTGTGCTTCGAAGACATCATCCCAGAAAACTTTCTGGGGACTCCTGTTCCCAGGGGCTCTGTAGGCACTGCTGCCATATTCTCCAGTGGACACCACCCTCTGAAGGCCTGGGGGAGAGTCCTGGAGTTTGCTTACATCAGGCTTCAGTGACCTCTGGGCACCACATGGACCTCCTGCCTGTGGGGTCAGCTGGGCCTCACGGTGAAGCTCTGTTATGCCCGGGAGCTGCGCCCTGTCCTCTGCTGGGCCCAACTTCTGGCTCTGCTGATGCCCCGGCAGGGAGCACACAATGAATTTTCTCAGGTAGCTTCTGAACCTCACAAGCTTGGCGGAGCCCAGCCAGAGCCAGGGGGTCCCTGAAAGCCACGTGCAGAATGCTGGTTTTATGCCTTGACTACCCCCTCCCGACAGTGCTCAGGGGTCATTCCTAGCTCCCCGTTGCTCCTGTTGGACTTGGGACCCCTCTAGGCAAAGCCTGCACTGCGGTCCTCTGAGCTCGCTCCCAGCCCCACCAAGTACAGATTTGGGGGAATACGACCCAAGTCCTGTTCCTGGATTCTCTGGAGTCAGGTCCAGTGAGGGTTGCACCTGGAGGCAGAGCCACTGACTCAGCGCCCCCTCGCCCGATTCCACCTCGGGGGAATGCAGTACCCAAAGCCCTCGGACCTCCCTCTCCATGCTCTGTGGCAAGTCGAGGTGACAGTATAAGCCCAGAGCGTGGGCACCACTGGCAGTGCCTCTGCCAGACACCTGGTCTTCATGTCCCAGAGAGACAGTGTCCTGTCACTGTCATCACACAGGGAAGGCCGGGAGCAGAGGCCTGGTCAGGCAGTGGGGCAGAATGTGGTACCGGGTCCATTTCAGCGGGAGACTGTGCTGAGGAAAGGGCCAAAACCAGAGGCCCTGGAGACCACTGAGGCACGAGCCTTCCCTCAGGCGCCCTCAGAAGCAGCTCGAAGCCTGGCTGACATTCACAGCTGCTCCTCTGTCGCCTGTGTGAAGGGAGGGTCGGGAATCACAAACTACCTCAGCATCCCCACCTGTGAAACGGAGGGGACGCTTCCAGAGCACGGTGCAGTCGCTTAGTGTTTGTTCTCTGCATCCCAGCCCCCTGGGCCAAGGGGTAATTCTGCTCCCACAGCTCAGATGTTTTAGGGGAGCCATGGAGTGGCGGCATCTCGGGCAGGCGGAGGGGTGGCGCTCAGCTATTCTCACCAGGGCTGTCCTCTGTCAGGGGTCTGAGTCAGAATACACACTCTGGGGGTATCTAGTCCAGAATCCATGCCTGCCGTGCTCGCAAACGAGTTCCATCTCCACTGCAAGATCCTCCAGCACCACCAGGTGGGGCTCTGGTGGCCTCCGACTACCGGGTGGCCTCATAAAATAAACAAACCTGCAGATTCTGGGACCTGCCCTCCTGGATTCAGTAAGTCAGGTGGTCCCGGTATCCCGTGGGTGAACTTCTCTAGGACTTCTTTTTTCTTCTTCTTCTTCTTTATTTTATTTTTGGGCTGGAGCGATAGCACAGTGGTAGGACGTTTGCCTTGCACGCAGCTGGCCTGGCCTAGCCGGGTTCGATTCCTCCGCCCCTCTCGGAGAGCCCAGCAAGCTACCGAGAGTATCTCCCCTGCAAGGCAAAGCCTGGCAAGCTACCTGTGCCGTATCCAATATGCCAAACACAGCAACAAGTCCCACGATGGAGACGTTACTCGGCCCACTCGAGCAAATCGATGAACAACAGGAGGACAGTGCTATTTTATTTTTATTATTATTAAGCATCATGATTACAATGGTATTAACCTTTATTTTGGGGGGTGGATCACCCAGCAGGGCACAGGGACCCTTGGGGGGCATACCCAGTGCTGCAAGGGGCTCTTTAAGGGGCACACTCAGTGCTCACAGGGGCTCTTTGGGGGCACACCCAGCACTGCACAGGGGCTATTCCTGGCTCTCTCTGCGCAGGAGTGACTCCGGCTGGGCATCTTGGTAAGGTCTGCTGGATGCCGGGCAGGTAATCCCTGTCCTGTCTCCTCAGCCCTGGATAGATGGTTTCACGTACACAGCTACTACACCTTCATTACCACCAAAATGCGCAAGACCCCCCCTACTCTCCTGTATTACCTCTAGTCCACCTTATTATCTGGTTATTACAGATTTTATGGCACTAATACTCTGCTTGGGACATGTGCCGAGGCCAATACCAGGGGGACATTATTAGAACCGCCTTGTGGTAGGGGAAGCGTCCGCTGGTCGTTTGGGGCTCTGCTCCCATGGTTTTGTAAAGGGTGGGCTGTTTGTGGTGGTTTTTCATGCATGCTTTTAGATCACACCCAGTGGTGTTCAGGGGCTACTTCTGGTTGATGCTCAGGGGAAGCTCCCCAGAGTACCTGGGGAACCATGAAGTCTAGGGACTGAACCAAGCCTGTCACACTTACCTCCTGGAGGTCTTGGTGGGCTTCTTTCTCCCACACCTCACTAAGACTCCTAAAGCAGACAGCCCCGGTGGGTGATGGAAAGGAAAGGACCAGGGGACCTGAAGAAACTTCAGTCTTTCTCTTCCTTGAACGTTCAGAATTACAGCAGTGCTTGAAGCAGGTTGGGTCTTTTCTCTGCAAAGAGAAGGAGATGCAAGGACAGACAGATACAGGGAGAGAGAGACGAAAGCGGAAACAACACAGATCAAATGGTGAGTGTGTCGGAACATGCGTGCATGTGTGAGTCGGGGGGCCTGAGGCCATCCAGGTCACTGCTCACTGGCCTGTTGTGCCCAGTGCCGAAACCCGGTGCCCAGGACCCGGAAGCTGAGGAGAGAAAACAACTGATAACCTGCCTGGAATATCTCTGTTTATTCTGACACAGAACTAAAATACACAGATCATCTTATCAGAACCTGATGGAGTATCTTAGGATGGAAATATTCCATAATTCAGACACAGCTGGAGCAGGCACCACTAAAGACCTGGAATGTGTATCCCCACCCCTACCCCAGAAGATCTTTCTGGGAGCCTCCAGCTGCCGGCCTCACACACACCCTTACTTGAACTGTCAGGGATTTTGCTGTGCCTGTGGGGCATACGAGATTGGTGCTGACATCTGCTAGCGAGAGGATGGGGCCCAGGAAGCCCCCAGCCCTGGTCAATTACTAGCATCTGAAGGCCAGCAATCCACCCCAGGGAACAGCCACTTTGGAGCAGATGCCATCAGAGGAGAGTCTGCCCCAGCCCTGCTGGTCTGGGACCACCGCCAGACAGCACCCTCATCTGCCCTTCTGGTGCACAAGCCATGGCTTGAAGGGACTGATGCTAAGAGGCAAGTCCTGGATTAGGTGCAGTTTCATTAATGAGCTTCCTACGTGCCCTGCAGTGTCCCTGGGAAAGATCTGCAAGACCCAATTGAGTGAGGCAAGTAGGTAAAAACAACAGTGACTCCTGTCAGGATGGCATGAACGGTGAAAGGAGGCACAAGAAACTTGCTCTCGGACCCAGAAGATCAAGTCTGTGTGACTCTGGGAAGGCTGTGTAAAAACTGGCTGTGGACTAGACCTGGAGTACTGTCCTCACTGCACTGCACTGTCCTCCTGTTGTTCATCAATTTTGCTCGAGTGGGCCCAGTAACATCTCCATTGTGAGACTTGCTGTTACTGTGTTTTGGCACATCAAATACTCCACGGGTAGCTTGCCAGGCTTTGCCGTGCAGGTGAGATACTCTCAGTAGCTTGCTGGGCTCTCAAAAGGGGCGAGGAATTGAACCCGGCTCAGACTGGCCGGCCGCGTGCAAAGCAACCACCTTACCACTGTGCTATCGCTCCATCCAGACCTGGAGCACTGAACAAAATTTCAGTAGGGAGAGAGCACTGGGGTTAGGTGGGGCTGTCTTTAAACTCACCTATGAAGTAAGACTGAAACTTTGTTTTGTTTGGGGCCCACACCCAGTGATGCTCAGGGCTTACTCCTGGCTCTGTACTCAGGAATCGCTCCTGGCAGTGCTTGGGGAACAATATGGATGATGGGGATTGAACCTGGGTTGACCGTGTGCAAGGCAAGTACCCTATCTGCCGTACTCTCTCCAGTCCCAGATTGAAAACTTAAAAAAAAGAATCTGCTTTTTATGACACCAGATGGGAAGCTTCAAAACAGAATCACAAGAATTCAGTAGATGCATATATGCTGAGACCAAGTTCAGAGTGGAGATAGAACACAGGGGTCAAGTTACTTGCCATACATAGAAGTGTCTTC